GAATTCTAAACTATATTTCTTTAGAAAATCGGAAATTTTGTTTGTTTTGTAAACCGATGGTGCCACCATTGATTTCAAAATTTGACCAACCAAGCCTTCAATTTCACCTCATGTTGCTAAAGAAAAGAATTTTCGTGGCTGGGAATCTTCATTCTTTTCAGGTAACAGCTCACGCTCATTTATTTTTTGATTTTATTTCTTGCATGATTCTCCCATCATTGATTAGGAATCTGTTAATTTTTCAAAAAATTTCCGACATGCCTGATCACTCAAATTTGATAGCCGCACAAAAATTGGCCAATTCTGCTGCCCTCTAATGGTGCAAAATTAAAATTAAAATTCTTAGTTACGATTTTTGAAAAAAAAATATTTTGAAATTCGACCCATGTATGGCCTGTATTAGGGTTCATGTACACTGCAGCTGATAAACTCACATTCAGGAGCTTTTCTGCATTTTTTTCAGCAGCCCCTGAACTCTCCCTAATGTTTTCCTATGTGTCCATGTACACTATGTCATTTACAGTCATTTACAGGCAGTTGAGTTTACAGTAATTTTTTTTGAATACACCAAACTTGCGTTCAGGAGTAGATTTTATCAGCGTTTCAAACGCCAAATGCTTGTAAAAACATGTAAACGCGGCTAACCGCGTTTATAAGTGTTTGCATTTAAAAACGTTTTTTAACTGTTCCATATCCAAATGCTGTCCAGAGCCTTTTTTTTCATCATCAGAAATGCATGCAAAGTGGTTTCCATGTGTTCAAATGGACCCGGTGCACCAGCGCAGTCAGTTGAAGGTTTCGCGTGAAGGAAAAATGGTAGAACATGCTGCATTATGCTCATGATGGGATCCATAGTGAATACAACCAGAAAAGACAGGTCATCTCAACACATACTGCTCTCTCTCTGCTTCTGCTCTCTCTATTCCTCTCAAAATGTCTGAAATAGTAATTTTTTTACTGTTTTTCAGTGCACTCTGGGCATTTTGGAAGGTCTCCTGAAGTTATCTTTAAAAAAAACGCTTCTAAATGCACACGCACATAAACGCGGTATGCAAACGCGGCTAAACAGACGTTTTTTAACCTACGTTTTCCAGCAGTCAGTTTCCATCATTCAGAAGTGTTTTCCATGGACATGGAGCCTTAGTGGTTATATGTGATTAGAACCTCCAAGCACTCATGAAAAAAAGCTGGTGTGTGTCCAGGTTCAGCCATTTGGCTGAATACAATGACGCAACCCAGCTAACTATCTGCGGCTACACTGCCAGATGAATGTAGTCTAAGAGCCTGTTCTAGAATGTAGCGCTATTAAAAATGTCAATAACTCAGATTTTCTTTGTTTGAGCAGATGAAGTGTATGCCCATCCAACTGCCCCATTCATGAGAGATATACGTACTGTATCACCAGATGTTCTTTGTGATATGGTTAGAAGAAGGTTACATAAACTCTTGCCATTTACTCCTGGATCCACAGATGTCCGAAAAGTATTTGTATGTATTGTAAATATGTGTTCCTGCTTTTGTTTCCTCTAATATACAGTATGTACTATATATAATTATATAATGTCATCAGAATTAATGTAAGTTGATTTGAGGTTTCCTGTACTGCAAATTCACAGTTTTTCCCCATTGAAGGACCCCATAGACAGCCCAAAATCTGGCTGATTCCTGCTGAATATGATGAAATTCAAGCTGTGGGTGGCCCTGCAAACAAAGTCAGAGCTGGTTGGAAAAATATCAGCTGAACAGGCAGTGTAGAGATTGATCCATCCACACTGTTAACAGGAATGAGATAATTGGTTAACACCTTCCCGCCCGGCCTATAGCAGATTGACGGCCAGGCGGGACACTCGCCGCTGTGACTGGGCATCATATGACGTCCTATCAAAACGAGCCGCTCACGTGGCCAGGAGACAACGCAGCAGTGCGATCTATCACCAGCTGTGTCCACAGGACACAGCCGATGACATATCACTACACTGGCCCGTTGTGAGTGTCATGTCACCGCTGTGACCAATCACAGCAGATCACATGTCAACTGTATACAATAAATGGCTTCCTGTCATGCCATCCATTGTACACAATTATGTTGTTAGCTGTGACTGGTCAAAGCAGTCACATGATACAGACAGGACTAATCACAGCTTATCTGTATCATGTGATCAGCTTTGCCCAATCACAGCTAATCACAACAAAAGACTGAATGAATCAGGTTTCATTCAGTAACTATGATTGCAAATATCAAAGAAATACATTGGTATTAGCAATCATAATGTGTTATTATGATAAAACAAATCCCAATCACTTGCCCAGAGTAGTTCAATGTTACTTTGGTACATTGTTTTGCTTTAGTCATGGTTGGCTGAAAAATAAAATAGTAAAAAAATAAAAATGTAATAAAAAATAAAAAAAATAGAAAAATTTGAAAAAAAAAATTAAAAAAATCAATTATTATTATTTTCACCAAAGAAATGTAGCAGAATACATTTTGACCTAAATATATGAAAAAATGTTATTTATTTGCAAAGTTATATAACAGAAACGAAGAAAAGTGTGTTTTTTTTCAAAAGTTTCAGGTGTTTTTTGTTTTATTTAGCAAAAAATAAAAAACTCAGTGGTGATTAAAGCGGAGCTCATCCAAAATGGGAAGTTCCGCTTTAAGCATTGCTCCCCACGCTCCCCATTAAGAATTGGCACCTTTGGGGGGTGAGCGGGTACCCGAATTTGACAGGTACTCGCTCCCACTTCCGGTTCGATTGCCTAGGCCTATAGTCAAATGATGGCCGGGCGAACACCTCGTCCCTCCGGGAGGGCGTCATATGACGTCCTTCCCGGATTGCGCTTTGCGTGTGCCCGCAGGGCTGCGCTGTGGTGAGATCTGTCACCGGCCGTGTACCTCGGACACAGTCGATGACAGATCTGTGTACCGGCCCCGTTGCCAGTATCATGTCATCTGCTATGACCAATCACAGCAAGTCGCATGACAGTTGTATACAATGGATGGCTGCCTTTCATGCCATCCATTGTATACAAGTGTGTCTAGCTGTGAATGGTCACAGCGATCACATGCACAGGCTGGGCCAATCACAGCCCATCTGTGTCATGTGGTTAGCCGTGGCCAATCACAGCTAATCACAACAAAAAAAACCCTGAAATAATCGATTTCATTCAGTTAAATGTTTGCTTATAGCAAATAAATTCTTTGCTATAAGCAATCAAATTGTGTAAAAAAAAATACTGTTCACTTCCCCAAAGTAGTACAATGTTACTATGGTAACATTAAGTGTAATATGAAAAAAAATCTTAAAAAAAAGAGAAAAAAGTAATAAAAAATAAAAAAAACTATTGAAAAAATTGAAAAAAAATTATGTATTTTTTTTTTTGTACTGTCACCAGTCAGTGTCCCTGATCACCACCACATCAGTTATATGCTGACGCTGTACTGCACTGTGATAGTATGTAAAAAAAAAGAAATTGTGAAAATAATTTTTTTAATTTCTTCATTTTCCGAAAAATTATGACAAAAAAACTTCAAAAAACTCGCCATGCCTCTTATGAAGTACGTCAGACTGTCTACTTTGCAAAAAGGGTCATTTGGGGGATATCAATACTGTTCTTAAATTTTTGGGCCTCAAGAAATTAGATTGGCCATCAGTACTTCAGAATTGATCAATTTTTAAAAATTTTCGGTCTTCTTTTGTTAATTTAGCAAAAAATAAACACCCCAGTGGTGATTAAATACCACCATCCGGCCATTTATGTACATGGGCCAGACGGGAGCAGTGCAGGAGCAGGTGGCCGTTTATAAATGTCCTCCCGTTTCGCTGCTTGTGCGTGCTCCCTAGGAGCAGAACAGCAGAACACGCTGTGCGGAACTGTACGGAACCTGTGTGAGGTCCCGATCATGTGATCACTGATTGGCCAATCAGTGATCACATGAATAGTAGTAAGCAAGATGTCACTTCTGACATGATTGCTTACTACGTGTGAAATCTGTGAATGATCACAGAGGTCACATGGTACAAGGCTATTCAAAACAGCCTTGTACCATGTGATAAGCTGTGACCAATCACAGCTCACACAGTATTTCTCAATGGCTGCAAGAAGGAGAAGGAGAAATGATTGCTTTTACAGCCTTTATGGGTGTAAAAGCAATCAGTGTAAAAAAAAAAAAAAAAAATCTTCATCACCCTCTACAAGTAATACAGTGTTACTATGGTGACACTGTACTGCTAGGGTGACAGTATGTAAAAAAAACAAACTAAAAAAAAAAATAATAATATAAAAAATAAAATAAAAATGTAAAAAAAATTGAAAAATTATAATTTTTGGTTATAAACTAATTTGGGTTATTATTTTTTTTTTACCAAAAAGATAACTGAATAAATTTTAGGCCAAGATTCATGAAGAAAGATTATTTATTTGCAAAATTGTATAAGAAAAACACTTTTTTAAAAAAATTTTTTGGACTTTTTCATTTATATAGTAAAAAAAATAAAAATCCCAGTGGTGAATAAATACCACCAAAATAAAGTTTTATCTGTCTCAAAAAAATGCTAAAAAATACATATGGGTACAGAGTTGCATGACCGCACAATTGTCATTCAAAGTGTGAGAACACTGAAATCTGAAAATTAGCCTGGGCAGGAAGGGGGTAAAAGTGCCCAGTATTGAAGTGCCTAAGGTGATAATTAAACTCACTTAGTGCCTTATCTGCATTAAATTAGCCTCAGAACCTGTGTCATTAATATGTGTTTGGGTTTAAAGGCGTTTCGAGTTGCATGACCGCGCAATTGTCATTCAAAGTGTGATAGCACTGAAAGCTGAAAGTTGGCCTGGACAGGAAGGGGGTAAAAGTGTCCGGACTTGAAGTGGTTAATTTGCTGGTGATGGCCTGATATAAGTGAAAGCAGTTTGCACTGCCCATCAATTAATTTCTACAACATATGACAAAAAAGAATTGTGGTTTCCTTGTCATGGCTAATCACTTGTTCGATTTGTCCTTGGACAGGAAGAGATTGTTTTAAGCGAGGTGAAAGTCGCCTGTGACGGTATTCCAGATGTTCTATGCACTACTCTATTAAATCCGAGAGAAAAGCAGCGCTGCACCGCCGTCTTCTTGGTCACATCATGATTGTCTCTGAGCAGCTGTTCCTGCACTACTTACACAAAATGGATTGGAGTAAATCGCATTCTCTCTTCTCAGACGAAGCCAATCTCACACGATGCAAAGCACAGCTGTTGCTTGATTGCTCGAAATTGTAAGTCCCAACAAGAGGCTGTAAAATTGTCTTGTTTCATCTCATCCATCAATGAGAGATACTTCTGAGAATATGGAAATGTCTCAGTAAAACTGTAATTTCCAGAAAGAAAATACCGTCCTGAGCAGAAGTTTGAGGTGCCATATAAATGTCATTATGTACATTATAAATCCCCCGTTATTACTTCCAGGAGAACCATTGGATGGAGACTTTGATCAATAGGCCATCCTTAGGGGAAATCTCCACTGTGATTAAATGACAAGTATTGTTACAAAGTTAAAGCTGAAGTTTAGTGATTCATTTCTTTTTATTCAGCACCAGACAGCACACTTACTGTAAATGAATGTTAAGTGTCCTACATGCTGATGGCTACTTACTTGAAATCTTCCATCCTCTGACCCCCCCCACCCATCCAACAAATACTCCTGAAGTTGCGACTTTTTGCTGCTGTAGGGGTTATCCACCAGGTTCTTAGCAACCATTGATGCTGGAAGTGAACGCAGTGGTGTATTTAGGTTTCGTGCTGCCCTAGGCAACAGAAAAATCATGTGCAGAGCCGCCCCCCTGATGAATGCCACCAGAGGCAAATGTCTTGTTTGCCTTGCAATAAATATACCCCTGAGTGGATGGAACTACTGGGCAGAAGGACTAGTTCCCCATCAGGTCCAATCTCTCCTAGCGAGTGACAACAGGCTGTGAGCAGACTCTATAGCCAATAGCAGGTTGTCTATTGGCAATGGAATCCACCCACTGTCTGCTGTCAATCACCAGCTACAACACTCATCACCCACTGCACTGTCTGTGATAGCTAGAGAAGGAAGCTCAGCTGCACTGAGGATGGAGTGGCCATATGGACAACCTGATCACAAGCGGCGCATACTTTACTTAGTGTTATCTATAAACATCAATTAATATTCATATATTGTGTCATTCTCTGTGTCCACCATTACCGCTGTAACAAAAAAAATTAAAAAAAATATATAAAAATAACATATACATAAAAAAAAAACATATATAAATGTATAGTGACTATAACTTAGAATATGTGATATTCCATATACTCCAAAAAATATAAAATACAAAAAAAGTCCCGTGAAATAAAGAAAAGTTGTTTACCTTGGGTAATATACGATTGGAGCGGATATTTTTCTTCTCTTTCCATGTCATGGTGGAGTGGAGTGTTTTGTTATGATCCTGGCAACCATTCTTAAAAGGGTGATTTTTGAAGGAACCTCCTGGTTTTAGCAGTGGATATCCTCTTGATTATGCTATAAAAAGGCTGTTTTCTGGTGAGTGCACACCTGAGTGGGGGTGCATGGTGGGCACTTCACAGATTTTGAACACGTATATATTCTTTTCATCACTGGAATTCATTTCAACACTGGACTTTTATCTTTTAATTTTTCTCAATACTGGACTTTTGGTTTTCTTTATTTCACAGGACTTTTTTTGTATTTTATATTTTTTGGAGTATATGGCATATCACAATTCTAAGTTATAGTCACTATACATTTATATTTATATATATTTATTATTATTTTTTGTTGCAGCAGTAATGGTGGAGACAGAGAATGACACAATATATGAATATTAATTAATGTTTATAAATAACACTAAGTAAAGTATGCGCCGCTTGTGATCACTGGAGTAGGGGTGATACCATATTATTAATGTTTTATGTTTGGAAGGAAAGTGGCAGCAATATAATATAATAATCATCTGCACTAAGCTCGACATTCAAGGTGGTCACTTACAGAATAGTTATATGGACAACCTGGCCTCAGTGTGTCTTTACACCCAGAGCTTGCCCCAAATTCATGTACCTGTTTCCAAAACTTTCATAAATCTGACATCCACGTTGATACTTGTGTGGCAGCATGTCAGAATTCTTCAAGCAGCCCATAGATGATTCTGCTTTTTTCATTCAACCAACAGGTTGAGCGAAAAAAACTGACCTGATTCCCACATGCATACACTGGATGGGGGAATCCTCCCCTCTGAGCTATTTTGTTCTGACAGTGGGAAGACTTCCTCGTTGCTGGAATACACTGATCAGTGTATTCCTAATGTGTTGATCAATACGTCGATCAGCTGTAGGCTGCGACGCTGATCGAACGTCATTTATCTGACAGGCTTGGCTGTACAGAAGTTGACCAGTAGATGGATTCTGTACAACCACTGTCCTCATACATGGATTAAAATTCAACTGGTCCCTGCTGAGTCGGCCGAATTTCAATCCATGTATGGCCAGTTTAAGAGTGATATTCTCAGAGTATGTCTGGCATATCTATCCGATTCCATTAGTCTATATAGACCTAAAACAAACAAACATAAATGACAATGTTATGAATGTAAACCCACTCAAGTACAGGCAACATACAGTATATCCCCCATAAAGATTGTGTCCCTGGAGAAATTTAAAGACAGGGATCCCAGTTCTGAAAAAAATAAGGTCTGTATCTCACCTAATAAGTCACTAATAATAGTTAAAAAAGGTCAAATATAAACGTTCGTTATACATTTGGTGGCTCGTTGTTGTTCTTCATACATCTATCATTGTTCCGCAGAGATACAGAAATAGTAAATCCAATTTTTTTTGTAGCTTTAATGTTTTTTCAGCCCAGCATCACCTAATTGCTGAGATAAAGGATTTGGAAGGCAATGAACACGATGAGGTGACTATGGAGCAAACTGCCCAGTTTTCTCAGCACTCAGACAAAAAGAGGCTCCCATATAAAATCGCTAAACCACCTTTAACCATGGAATATTTTATAAGATTGGGCAGACCAGAGACTGCTGTTCAAAAAGTCCAAAGAGAAACAGATCTGATGCAAGTAAGAAAGATAATGTATATTATTATTATTATTGTATGATAGACATTTGATAAGAACTACATAAAAAAGGAAGTTAAGCGACAACAGCCGCTGGAACACCAAAGGCAACCATAAACCTCCCAAAATAAACATCAATGTAAACAGGTGCAGCGCTGTTATATAGAAGGATATTATGTAGAGTAACTATATAATTCAAGTATTCAAATATGAAAGTGCCAAATATATCTCAAAATAACGGCATAAATGTCTTGAATAAACTCAATAAAATACAATAAATATATAAATATATAAAGTGCAGAATAAATAAAACCACATTAAAGTGGTAATAGTGATAAGTCCAAAAAATGAACATGGGGATCATAGCAGATCACAGCCAAAGTGCTCAAATTCCTTATCCAGGAGTGACGGATGATGTGACTTAGTAATAAGTGAAAGGCGCACTCACCAGAAGCGCGCTAAAAACACGCATTTGAGATTAATACTGTCTCATCAGGTTTGTTCAGATCGTCTGCTCCAAAGTATGGCCAGGTTCCTGTTCCCTTCAGGGTCCCTTGATAGGTATCATTGCATCGGGTCACCTCTAAAATAGGCTCTGTGAATGATACCTGGAATGATACTTATCACTATTACCACTTTAATGTTGTTCTATTTATTCTGCACTTTATATATTTATATATTTATTGTATTTTATTGAGTTTATTCATGACATTTATGCCGTTATTTTGAGATATATTTGGCACTTTCATATTTGGATACTTGAATAATATAGTTACTCTACATAATATCCTTTTATATATCAGAGCTGCACTTGTTTACATTGATATTCATAAGAACTGTATTGGTTGCTCATTGCAACCAGCTAGATGCTCATTTTAATTTTCTTGCTACTAGTATAAAAATGGGAGCTGCAGATGTTTTCCATTTTATTTAACTTGATCCCAATTGCTTTTTTTTTGTGCAGAAATATAAAATAAAAAAAGGGGTAGCTCTACGTTTGTGGGAAAAAAAATAGCAAATATGAAAAAAGGAATAATATAGCATATACAATTGAGACGCAAGTCATACTGTAATTGAATGTTATTGAAAATGACCTATCCTTTTCACTCTACAGCGCTGTCATTTTCTGTAGTATGCAATGAAATTTGGCTACCTGGAGGCATTCTGTAAACAAATGCTTTACAGAACGCCCCCCCAAGAAATGTAATTTCCTGCTTGTATGATTGGCTCACTGATTTTCCCAAAAGTCTGATTCTAAGATACAAGTCAGATTTTTGTCATCCCCTGCAACAAAAATGTAATTTTTGGTGAGATACTCCCAAAAGGAAATCAGGTCTGTAGGGATGCAGACCCTGCCACTTTCCTTATTCGACTTCTGTAAGTGCAGCAGCAGATTGACAATCACTCCTATACAGATTCTCTCTGCACATAGACAGAGACTAACAAACAGCTATTTCTTCAGAATAACAAAAGGTAGTAATCTGCAACAAAGTTTGTTAAAATCCTTGCAATGTTCATAGATCACCCAGAGGGGAATGTTTTTTTTTCTCAACAACAGTGGAGTTACTTTTTAACCATTTGCCCTCCAGAGGATTTTCCCCCTCTTCCTGCGATACTACGCTGAGTTACTTTAACTGACAATTGTGCGGTCATGCAAAGCTGCACCCAAATGAAATTTATGTCCTTTTTTCCCACAAATGGAGCTTTATTTCTGTGGTATTTGATCGCATCTGCAGTTTTTATTTTTTGCGCTATAAACAAAAAAAGACTGACAATTTTGAAAAAAAAAAACAATATTTTTTACTTTTTCCTATTAAACATGTCCAGTAAAAAAATGTTAAAAATCAAATTTCGTCATAAATTTAGGCCAAAATGAATTCTGCTCCATGTCTTTGCTAAAAAAAAAATCCCCAAAAATCTGTGTAAATTAATTGTTTTACATGAAAGTTATAGCATCTACAAATGGCGGTGTATATATATACTGGAATTTAAAAAAAAAATGTTTTTATACTAGTAATGGCAGCGATCAGCAACTTATAACGGGACTGCAGGACTGCGGCGGGCATTCTGACACTGACTAACTGCCACTGACATCCCCAGTGACACTAATACAGTGATCAGTGCTAAAAAAAAGCACTGGCATTGTACTAATGACACTGGGCAGGAAGGAGTTAACATCTGGGGCAATGAAAGGGTTAACTGTGCTGTGTGCTGTGTTAGCCCTGGTTCACATATATGTGGCCGTGCGGGCCGCGTTTTGCGCGGACACGAGAGCCCATTCAATTGAATGGACTCCTGTGCCCCGTGACACGCAGATAAGAACTTCTGAAAACACAGCCCGCACGGTAACCTCGGTTCCCAGTACGGTTGCGGTTTCCAGTGCGGAAAAAAAAAAAATAATGGCACTCCAGCACGCGGATCCTCATTCCTCTGTGCGGGTGGTGCAGCTGCATGGATTTTCGTCGGGATCCGCAGCAGCACCACCCGCACAGATGTGAACCTAGCCTTACTGTGTGTTGTGTGTGCTTTACTGTCTAAGCATGCTGTTTTGTATTGCTCTGCTATGCAGAGCAAAACAAAGCAGCATGCTGGAGCCGACAGGGGAGAAATCTGTATTGTTTACATACAGACCTCTCCCCTGTCAGTGTTATTCGGCGATCGCCGGGTGCCGTTGGGGAATCTCCAGCCGGAACCCAGTGATTGAGAGCCGTAACAATGTAGGGCGGCGCGCTCGTGCACGCCCCCTACCCTGTGAAATGCAAATCACGTGTATAAAAGTGATTTTGCACAGCCCTGCTGCCCTGTAGCAGTATTTGTGCTATAGGGCAGCGAGGACGCAGTTAACATTTAATTGGTTAGTATTGTATTACTTTTTGTGCTACAGCCCTATTTATTGATGCATAGTAGGTTTTATAAATCAAAATCCTTTGTGTTTTAAGGCACTGACCGCCTTATTTGATAAAACAGTTAAAAAAAATAATTAAAATGCAAAGTGCAGTAACCAATAGCATCTAGTGGATTTCTTTTAATTGAAGTCAGTTATAGATGAAATCTATTTAGTCACGGGTCATTGATCATCCTTCACACTCTCATTATTGAATTAGCCCGAAGGCACCATCAGTAAGAAATAGCATATTTTTGTTTCCTGACAACAAACAAGGCAGTTTAATTTAACATTCCCTATAAAATAAAAACATTTTTTTATTACTTTTTATTACTTTCTTTTAAAGATTAAAAATATACAGGGACTGGATTTAGAGAAGGTATATAAATTGTATCCCAAATCCAAGGACTACAGCACATTCAAAAAGAATATACACTGTAAGTATTTTCATGACTTTTAAATGATTGCTAATAGTGAGCTGAGCTTTTCTGGTTTAGGAAGATGTGCAAAGTAAAGCCTGTACACAAGAATGCTTTATAATGGTACACTCATGTGTACCCAGCGGCGGACTGACAACTCATGGGGCCCCCGGGCAATAGGGGATCATGGGGCCCCTGTGTCCTTGCCCAAACTCAAAAAAGTCTATGAAAAAGGTACCAGGGGCATCTCATGGGGCCCCCTACTGACCCCGGGCCCTCAGGCAGTGCCCAAGTTTCCAAATGGTCAGTCCGCCCCTGTGTGTACCTGATCATTGTGGTGACCAGGATGTTAATAACAGTCATGGCCATAGTCTAGGATCTGAGCAAAGAACATACTGGTATCAAGCTGGTGATCATTGTCACTTTAAAGAGATCACCTTAACAAAAGGGTCTTGCCTAGTAGCACTCCCTTTTCATAAATATTGTAAATATTTGTAATACCTTCTGTTCCTATAGAGTTGGATTTTCTGCTACACACCTAAGTTTCTTCTTTTATTATTTTTAACCGCAAGTATTTTTGGTGTTGAATTAAAGTACAGTTAACATATGTGAATCATAAATACTCCCGAAACACATACAACAAATAATTATTGGAATGTCCGCATCAAGTTGAAAAAATTTCAGCTGATCACGTGGTGGAGAACCCATATTTAGCTTTGAACAAAGATCACTTTTTTCTTTTTTTCTCACAAGATTGGTGTTTGAGGACTTTTTACAACTTGATGTGGACATTCTAATATTTATTTTTTTGTATGTGTTATATTGTGGGAGTATTTATGATTCACACATGTCAACAGTTTGTATAAGAATTTAAAGGGATAGCGCCTAATTTTCACTATTTGCACAGATTATAGGTGTAGTTCAAAAGGAGCAGCAGCCTTGTTTTTTTTTATCATTTATTTTCTTGTTTTTTATTTGTTTTTTGTTTTTTTTTGCACATTATTGGATGCCGCTTTGTTGTTGATATTCTAAAGTACAGTTAAATTAGAAACTTGCTGAAAACAACTGAAAAAGTAAATTGGCTGGAACAGATCTATTCACAAAAGTATTATTTATTATTATTATTATACAGTATTTATATAGCACCAACGGTTTGCTCAGCGCTGTACATTATAATGGGAGACAGTACATGAGACAGTACAGTAACAATACAATACATGAGGGGTTTGAGGGCCCTGCTCCTTGGAGCGTACAATCTAGGAGGGAGGGGAGAGTGGTACAGGAGGAAATAGCTGTGGGGGATGGAGTGGTGGGAAGAGCGGAGGAGATCAGCAATTAGGTGAGGGTGGGGTAGGCTTCTCTGAAGAGATGGGTTTTCAGGGTGCGCCTAAAGGTGAGGAGGGTAGGTGACAGTCTGATGGATTGGGGGTAGTGAGTTCCAGAGGATGGGGGGAAGCCCTGGAAAAGTCCTGGAGACGGGCATGGGAGGAGGAGACCAGGGAACTGGAGAGTAATAGCATCTTGCCAGTATTATATCTGTCCTTGCTTTGTCAAAATTATAGGATGGACCAGTTGTGCTGGTAGATGAGCTTGGCTTGTTATAGGGATTGATTTACTAAATTTGGAGAGTGCAATATCTGGTGCAACTGTAGCCAATCAGCTTCTAACTTCAGCTTTGACAATAAAAACTAGAAGCTGATTGGTTTGTCTGCAGAGCTGCACCAGACTCTGCAATCTCCAGTTTTAGTAAATCGATCCCATACTGTTGTAAAGAACAGAGGCTGTCATCTAAGGCTGGCCATACACTCTACAATTTTCTGTTCAATTTCTGCCCAATTTCCTTTAGATTTACCTTCAACTATGTAGTGCAAGGGCCTGCCTAATTGGATACAACTGAAAGTGTTATTTAGGTTTCAGCTCATATTATATGGTTTTTGGTAAATCTAAAGTAAAATTCTCAAGAAAATTGTATAATGTATGGCCAGCCTAACACGTTACAAAGTATGTCTTACTATTTTCTGACAGGTGAAGCTGTGACAACCCCGTGTTCATTCAGACATGAGGAAGACCAGAAAACAGATGAAGAAAATGGTTATGCCAAGTGCACATTGATTAAGGTTGTTTTTTTCATCTACATAGAACCTATATGTATATATACTGTATATAGTGTATGTACAGGGCTGAAAACACTTTTAAGTCTTGCTTTGATATTTCTGATTTAATTCAGATCTCATTGACAGATGCATTTAACTTAAGTCAGCCATACATGGATCGAAATTCCGCCAGTTCAACAGGGACCGGCCAAGATTCTACCCATGTATGGGCAGGCTGATTGTACCTGTCAGATTTTTTACACTGTAGCCTGTCAGATATTATATATTTTTATTATTGCCAGTAGCTATAGCCACTAGCAGTAATTATTGTATTCTGTAGGCCAGAAAGGCTCCCTGTGCCCCCCCCGCCAGAACACAATAGCTTTACATGAGGATTCCCCCATCCACACTAAATGTGTGGATGGGGGAATCATGCAATTTTCTTTCTTTCTTTCCACCTGTGATATAAGGGAAGAAAATTTAATCACCTATGGGCTGCCTTGAAGCTGATCTACTGTACTATCAAGAAGATTTTGCATTCCCATAGACCAGTACAGCAATTGTTTTCATAGGTGCATTTTTGTGTAGATACATGTTATGGAGTATAGGTGGGAGGAGAACCGACCCTTACATAGGGATAAAGAACACACAGATCAGTTAAAGAGGCCATTACATGCAGGAGAGGACTGGACTGAGGGGTCTTTGTCCTTTGGACCAGTATCAATAATATATGTTGGACTGGTGGCCCTAAGTGGAGAATCTCCCCCATTCAGACCTCAGTCACTGTGGGAACTATGAAACGTGCTGTGCACATTTATTAAGGAAACTGAATGAGAAGGATTATTTGTGTGACAGCATGGAATTTAATGTAGCATTTTTTATACACTCTTTATTCAACCCCTTCATGCTAAATACCAGCAGCCCTTTAAGTGGGCTTTAATACTTTGCAAGTGACGAGGCTTCTTTGAGGCCTTTCACACGGGCGTTCCATATGTCTGCTCTCTCATCTGTCCATTTACGGATGAAAAACAGACACTCATGTATTCTTATGAACTAGCAGATGTAAACAGATGATCATATGTTTACATCCAGGGGCGGACTGACCATTTGGAAACTCGGGCACTGCCCGAGGGCCCGGGGTCAGTAGGGGGCCCCATGAGATGCCCCTGGTACCTTTTTCATAGACTTTTTTGAGTTTGGGCAAGGACACAGGGGCCCCATGATCCCCTATTGCCCCATGAGTTGTTAGTCTGCCCCATTTACATCCCTTAATGTCCGCATTCGTTAACATCTGTTAACGATGCAAACAGATGTAAATGGATGTAACGGACATACGGTCCATATTTGCATCGGTAAAAGATGTAAAAAACTGATGTAAAAACAGACGAGATACTGACCAAAAAACTGCCATAAACTGATCCATTTTTTTTTTTTTTTTTTTAAAAAACACGTGAGTGCACTGATAAAAAATAATGGAACACCCGTGTGAAAGGACCCTTCATCATTTGATGGCTGTGATTAACTCTCACAGCAGCCACATGATCAGGAGCGTGTTTCGCTAGTTACCAATCAGAAGCTGAGACTGAGAGCTGTTGATGACAGCTCAGTCAGTGTGCTGGGAGCTCACAGTGAGCATGCTCTCAGCATGCAACGTCAGACAGCTTTAGATGTATATGCATGGTGTCCAAATGTACCCCTGTGCTCCTTCATCCAGAGTGGGGGCACTCTAAAGCAGGAGATGTGTTTTACTGGCCAGATCACCAGGTGAAAACAGAGAAAATGCCATAAAAGAAAAAGAATGCAGCCACCACAGCTAATGATAGGTGAGCTGCAATATATAACATTTTGGGTTTAATAATGCATTAATGAAAACTCCTTAAGGCTCCATGCACACTGTGCTTAAAAAAAAACGCCATTCTGATACAGAGCATTTTTGTACACAGTTTAGCTGAGTTTAGTAGAGTTTACCATTTTTTTTCTGCCAAAAAGCTCCAATCATAAACACAAACCAGAAGGGTTTTTTCCTGCCTCTAATTGTCCTAATGTGCATGGAACAGGGTAACTCTGAGCTGCTTCTACAGGCAAAATATAAGGGCTCATGTACACTGCAGCTGCTAAATGGACGTTCAGGAGCTGTTCAGCATTTTTTTTTCAGCAGCCCCTGAACTCTCCTTTATGTTTTCCTATGTGTCCGTGTACACATAGTCATTTACAGTCGTTTACAGGCAGTTGCGTTTACAGTCATTTTCTTGAACGCACCAAAATTGCGTTTCAGAGTAGATTTTACCAACATTTCAAATGCCAAAATGCTTGTAAATGCATGTAAAATTTGTAAACGCGGTTAACCACATTTACAAGCGTTTGCGTTTAGATGCGTTTTTTGACAGGTCCACATCCAGATGCTGTCCAGAACCATTTTCCTTCATCACAAATGCATGCAAAGTGTTTTCCATGTATTCAAATGGACCTAATACACCAGCACAGTCACTTGCAGGTTTCACGTGAAGGAAAAAAATGGTAGAACGTGCTGCATTATGCTCCATAGAGATCCATAGTGAATACAACCAGAAAAGACAGGTCATCTCAACACATACTGCTCTCTCTGCTTCTGCTCTCTCTATTTCTTTCAAAATGTCTGAAATAGTTAATTATTTACTATTTTTCAGTGCATTCTGGGCATTTGGGAAGGTTTCCTCAGGATATCTTTTAAAAACGCTTTTAAACGCAAACGCGCATAAACGTGGCTAAACGTGCATAAAAGCGGTATGCAAACACAGCTAAACTGACATTTTTTAAACACCTCCCATCCAGCTGTTGTATATAAACGGCCGTACGATGGCAGAGCAGGGTCGGGTGGCTGTTTATAAACGGCCTCCTCGCCCCCTGCTTGTGCGCGCTCCCTGGGAGCGTGCAGCACTGTGATCCAGTGCCCGCTGCGTCCTCCGGACACAGTGGAACACCAATCGTCGTACGGGACCTCTGTGCGACGGTCCCAATCATGTGATCACTGATTGGCCAATCAGTGATCACATGCAGAGTAGTAAGCAAGATGTCACTTCTGACATCATTACTTACTACGTGTGAAATCTGTGAATGATCACAGAGGTCACATGGTACAAGGCTATTCACAACAGCCTTGTACCATGTGACAAGCTGTGACCAATCACAGCTCACGCAGTAGTTTCTCAATGGCTGCGAGAAAAGGAGAAATGATTGCTTTTACAGCCTTTATGGGTGTAATCAAAAAAGCAATCAGTGTAAAAAAAAATCTTCATCACCCCCCACAAAGCAAAAAAAAAAAAAATCCCAGTGGTGAATAAATACCACCAAAATAAAGCTTTCTCTGTCTCAAAAAATACTAAAAATTCATATGGGTACAGTGTTGCATCACCCCGCAATTGTCATTCAAAGTGTGATAGCACTGAAAGCTGAATATTGGCCTGGACAGGAAGGGGGTGAAAGTGTCCGGACTTGAAGTGGTTAACCTACATTTTTCTAGCAGTCAGTTTTCAGTGGTCAGAAGAGTTTTCCAAACTCCCCGAGTACATGAGCCCTCCTGTAGAATCAGTGATTTTTAAGCCAGTGTGCATGGAGCCTAAAAAGAAATATGCAGATTTGTTATGATACCATGTTTTACAATATCTACTGAAGGGCTATCAGTAACACCTATGTTAAATGTTGGATCATTGTAGAAAAGTGTGTCTTGCCCCAATCTGAGGATTGGCGATCTGCTGGCTGATGAATTGAGGATAATATTTAAAAAATATCCATCCGAGTGCCCAGACATTCTAACTATATCACAGACAGAAGTAGAAGGAAATCCTGTATCATATGATCTCAGAAGGTATTTAACCTCTTTTTATGTTCATTCTATACCAATATAATAAAACAATATTTTAGTAAAGGTGAGTGATATTGAGAGAAATAAATTTTCTTAATGTTTGTGTACATTTTCCTAAAAGGCTTAACTTTGGATTTTATAGGGAAGCATTAGGACATCTGTCAGGTTTTTATTTCTCTCATAGTCCCCAGAAATCAGCCTCTCTACTGGTCCTGGTAACAACTCTCAACAGGACAGAAAGTGATGGGAAATCTAAGATTTTGAGTTGTCTCCAGAACAGAAACAAAGTGGAATGCATGTCAGCACGGAGGAACTGGATAGTGCAAATCACCAGCCATCAACATTTTAGGCACCTTCTTACACACACGTTCTGGTAACAACTGTCAAAGAGGGAATTTACATCATTTTGGAAAGATTCCCTCTCACCTTGTGTGTTCAGGACAGAAAGTGAAAGCAAATCTTCCCAATGGGACACATATTTTAACCATACCATACTCTATCCAAAATGAAAAACAGAGTTTGGTTCTAGATATATGTTAATGTATAGTTCAGCATTAGCTAGAACACATCTGACTTGTACTGAAAGAATATGAGGCTACTATTGCTGACTTCTTCTTTTGAAAATGTTTTTTGCCTGGCTGTCATGCTGATCCATTGGCTTCAATACTTACTGACCTGGGACAGGTATACTGTTTAGAAGTCCTGGAAATGTCACATTTTGTTGCTAACTGAACATGATCCGAACTGGAACTTTCCGTTAAACAGGTCTTGTTATCTTTTAGGTTAATAGGAGATGCCAAATTGCAAAGCTCAAATTGTGTAGAGAGACAGCATTCTGATGAGGAGATTCCTCCATTAATAAGTGCCATAGGTCCTGGATACAAGAATCCAGCTAAACGTCAGAAAATGGAAGCTTTGTTACAGGTAGCTATATCCTATTTCTTTTTTTTTTTTTGTTTTTTTATTTGAAACATAAAAATGTACAGCACTATGTCAAACATCCGTTATTAAACTTATATTACAACTTGTTGCATGACAAGTCATGATATACTCCAACAGTGTAAAGTTACTTACAGTCAAAAGTATTGTTCTGGTCATAATATAATATCTCCAAGGGCAACTCTTAGCTCAACACCTTGACCCTTATATACCAGCAATAGAAATGTACCAGGACAAGGGATGTCTATCTTGGACCAATTCAAGAGTTGCTAGGCTGGGTGTCAAGCCATTGTCCCCATAACTTTCCAAACTTAGTATAGGCTCTCTTGTGTTATTATTATTACAGGTACTCATATAGGGCTGACAATTTACGCAGCACTTTACATATATATTCACATCAGTCCCTAACCCTCAAGGGGTGTACAATATAATGTTCCTAACTCACATTCATACATACACATCCTAAGGCCAATTTAGAAAGGAACCAATTAACCTACTAGCATGTTTTTGGAGTGTGGGAGGTAACCGGAGTACCCGGAGGAAACTCACCAGGCACGGGGAGAACATGCAAACTCCAGACAGGGATTGCTGTGGTTGGGATACAAACTGATGACCCAAGTGCTAACCCTTTAGCCACTGTGCTGCCCTATGTCTCCAATAAAATATACGTATTCATTTGATCAATCCATTGTTGGTTGGTAGGTGGAAGAGAATATTTTCAGGACACCAAGAACACAAACCACAAGGGTTTTGGGAACAGGAATATGAAAAGTGGACTCTAATTGAGAGGTGACTGACACTCCAAAGCATATGCAATAAGTCCCCATGGTCTCTTAAACATCTATGACAAATGGCATTTGGGGAATGCACCCTTTTAAAGAATGTAGTGGGGGGTCAAGTGAGTACTTATTTGCAGTATACCTAGGATAATATCTATATGAGGTTAAGTGAAACCGAAGGCATATTATCAAGAGCAGTTAACCTATGATCTGCATCCAAGGTACCCGTGTGAACAGCCCAATGCTCTCTAGCTTTTGTTGGGTATCATATGAGATGTCCAGGCAACAACATACAGTATCAAGTGGAGATATAATGTTCTAAAATCTGTTATCCCCTTGTGACCAGGCATTCATTATGTCTCAGTTTTAAGAATCAGTAAAACTATGATTGTTTATTTTTTTGATTCTCAAACTATAATTGAAAAAGCAATACATTCCCTTTAAATAATTGTGTACTTCTCTAATCTAGAGTTTAAATAAGAAATCAGAACAGCCTAAAGAAATAGAAAAGACAAAGACAAGTTCCCATCCACAGACCTTCACTGTTGATGTCCAGGTCCCCAACAGACCATTAGTAAGGAGAGCTGATATCCAGGCCTCTGACAGAGTATTTACACACCTAACTGAAATTCAGAAATACCCACCAATATACAATGACTTTGCATCAGAGGTATGTATTACACTCTTTCCACATACATACTGTATATGATACAATTGCAGGTTAATCATCTTTTATTTGGACTGGAACTCATAAAAAATGACAGAAGCTGTGTTTTGCAAGTTACAGTGGTTTCTGTAATACCTTTTTTTCTGGTTCTCTTGACTTGGAATTATTTCTTTATGTGGTCTATGCCCTACCAGTTTAGGCTATATATTTACATCTCCCATGTAAATACTGTATATAGCCTAACTGAACTGGAATCTTTATGCCTTCGGAATACCTTCCAATCCAACCCCATCAGTATCTGTAACATGCAACTGTTAGCGCTTTTATCTATATATTTTAATTAATCCCAAAATGTTTGCATTGTGATTCTGACCTCAAATGTTAATATGTAGGTAATGATGGAAATGACATATAAAGAAATTGTATTATCCACAGCACAGTTTAAAACAGATTTTCATATGCAGGTGTGTATATGTATGCATTAAAAAATGTTATAAATAGCATACAAAAGTGTGTACAAATAGAACTTCAGCGCAACAAACAATTCCCCAATCTCCTGTGTATACCAGTGCTGCTGACACTTACATGTGTTTTTCTACATACAAATAGGTATATCATATATTAGTGCCGCGCATATATCTCCATATCCTTATATGTATGAAAACATCCAGACCATGTGATTATTAAACATTAGTGAATACAATAAATACAACTTATAAGTCCTTGATGTGTGATTTTATCCATGCCTCTATGATTTATTCCCAAACAGGTGCTCTTTATTGCTTATATCCATATGTATTCTTAAAGGTGCTCCTCCACCAGAGACATACATATCTCACCTCCTTATATGACCCAGCTTGCATAGGTCAAATACTGCCTTTCCCTTTTAACCTGGGTAGGTATACTGTATGAATGACTCCACTTTCCTCCTCACTCTGGTGCAAACGGTCCCGTCTCCTCTTTATCCCACATATCCTCCGCATATGTAAACAGAAACGCTTAAATACTCCCCTCCTCATCTCAGCATAAATACCCCACCCACAAATACCCAGGAGTTGTGCTGGGAGGCAGGATTTGGGGGGGTGGTAGAAGATTTATGCTGGGAAGGGGGATTTGGGGGGGGGGATTTGTACTGGAATGGGGGGCTGTGCTGGAAGGGAGGAATTGGTGAGTGGAAGAGGATTTATTCTGAGTGGGGTATTGGGGGGAAAGAGGGTTTGTGCTGGTAAACAAAGTGGATTTATTTTGAGATGGGTATTGGGGGGAAGAAAGGTTTGTGCTGGTAGGGGAAGAGGATTTGTATTAGGAGGGGGAAATGTGTGTGTGTGGGGGGGGGATAAATTCTGGGAGTGGGAAGAATGGGGGATTGTGCTAGGACTGGAGATTTTGCGGATGGTGGAGGAGGATTTGTGCTGAGGAAGGTAAAGAAGATTTGTTATGGTGGGAATCGTTCTGGGAGGGGAGAAATTCTTTTTTATGGTAGGGGGGTGGATGAGCATAAAGATTAGCGCTGGATTTTTTTTTTTTGTCAGGACAGGCAGTGGGGATTTTTGATGAAAGGGTAAACTGGGTGAGAGTATTGCTTGCAGGGTAAATTCTGCACTCTTCTTACTCCTACATGGTGTGTTACACCCCTAACTGCTGGGCCCATGACTCCTACTATGCATTACACCAGGGCTGTCAAACTGGCAGCCCTCCAGCTGTTGTGAAACTACAAGTCCCATCATAGCTTTAGGAGTCGTGCTTGTAACTGTCAATCTTGCAATGCCTCATGGTACTTGTAGTTTGGCAACAGCTGGAGGGCCACCAGTTTGACACCCGTGCATTACACACTCCTGTCCCCTGCATCTCCGTACATTTAATATTTCTGACCCTTGCATTCGGTGCATAACACTCACAATTTGGCCACACCCACTGTTACACGCCGCATTACTACTCTTGTTGGGGCACCCAAAGGTGTCCCAAGTCTTATAGCATATACTGTATGCTGTGCACTGCTAAAGTGTTTGGGTTTGACTTGAAGAAAAGGTGGCAACCAGGGGCGGACTGACCATTTTGGAACTCGGCACCGCCCGAGGGCCCGGGGTCAGTAGGGGGCCCCATGAGATGCCCCTGGTACCTTTCATAGGCTTTTTTGGGTGTGGTTTGAGTGTGGGCGAGGACACAGGGGCCCATGATCCCCTATTGCCCGGGGGCCCCATGAGTTGTCAGTCCACCCCTGGTGGCAACCCTAGCTTTAGCTAAGAGCCTTTGTAGAAGTGCCTACTATATACAGTATGTCAAACAAGGCAGAAATCCAGATGTTAGAACCCCAAGAGAATGCTGTCTTTTGTGACCACATTAGTTGCCCATACCTAAAGCAGGCTTTTAAAAAGGTCAGAAACACCAGTTCAGTTTATACACCGTACACCAGAAATACCATGAACATACCTGCAGATGGCAGTCATTTATCATAGAAAAGTCTAGTAAACCTTGCATCATTAAAGAACAGTATGTCCTGAATAATACAACAAATGGCATTACCGATGACATCTATAAGCATTACTTTGGGTTAAGCAATGCAGAAATCTGTCATAAAAAAACACAATTTTTTTTTTAGCTCAGCATATAACTTTCTTATTAAAGGTATCATAGAAAATGCAGTAAATATCAGTCAAAGTGCTGGCTTGGTTAATACAAGCTCATTTGGTTTGCAGCAATCTTCACTTTAGTGAACTAGCCTGGGGGTAATGTACTGCTCCTGTCTCTGGAGGACTGCAGAAACTGCTAGAGATAGTGTGTATCTCTGGGTGGCAGAATGTAATGTAGCAGATTTTATAGGAATATTAGTCATGCAGAACCTGGTTAATGATCATAAAAGTCATACAAGGTCAAATGGTCTTTTTTTTTATAGGATAGTTTAATCGCAGCCATGAACCTTGTATGAGAATATGAGTTTGAACTTATTATTTGATCATTTAATTGCTTACAGTATACAGTATTGTAACTAAACTTTATAAAAACTATACTTTAACTATACTTTATAAAACCTATACAGTTTTGTATTATAAAAAGACAGTCCTTTGAAACAGACTGCGGGTTCATGTAGAATTAAAGGCAAAACTTTTTTTTTTCGTTTTAGATAGAATAATGGAGGTTTATAACCCCTGTCGATTATTTATTGCCATGTTTGTCCTATTGAAAAAATTCCCCTTCACCTCCTGTCCCATTGTCCCAGAGAGTTAAAACTCCCTCCAAAGTGAGAGAACCCTGGGGTGTCATCATGATCACCAGAACTAGTGTCTCCACTGGAAGATTTCCCCTGTATTACTGTTCTGGGGAAAACCCAAAATTTAGGATTTTCTATCACTTTCGCTATCAGTGATAACAGTAAATAGGACAAGTAGAGAGGGTGAATCATTAAAATAACGGTCAGGTGTTCTGATTTTTCTCCACCCTATCCAAACCTTTAAAACAAAATTGCCGTTAGTTATACTTTAAAATTTGAGTGTAAGTACCTAGTGCTCTTATTAAAAGAGAAATGTAGGATTTTAATCAACAACAACAAACAATCACCTAGGTATGGACTGATGCTGCATCTGTCCCCTGCTGCCTCTAAGGTCCTTTTCACACCTGAGCTCAAAAATGCTTGAGGAGCAACAATCAATTATTATCAATGGAGGTTCACATCTCCACTGCAAGTCGCCTAAAGCCAAACACCTAAAGCTCAAACACATTTTGCCTTTTTTTATAACTCAATTTGGGCAGATTTGCACATTTATTATTATTATTATTATTATTATTATTAATAATAATAACAACAAAATTATTATTTTCTTTATTTTGTGTTAGGGTGTTTATTTTTTTATTGGTTGATTGATTGATTTAAAAAACATTTTTAACGGTTAGGGGGTTAAGGTTAGGGGTTAATTATTAGTTATTTATTATTACATAGTATTCATTTATTGTATTTATCATCTATTTAAGATTATTTTTGCTTATTTGTGTATTTATTTTACATTGATTTAATCATATATAATTACTATTATTATTATTATTATTACCCTAACTCCTAATGCTAACCTTAACCCCAACCTCTAACCCTAAGCCTTACCAAACCTTAACTCTAACCCTTTATCTTAACTAAAAAATAATAATAATAATAATAATAATAAAAAAAATAATAATAAAAAAAAAAAGAAATAAAAAGCTGATGGGAAAGCTAAAAAAGCTAAAAAAACCTAGCAACAAACGATGCAACAGATAATATTTTTCTCTTTTGGTGAATAAAAAAAAAAAGGGCAAAGCTCCAAAAATGCTTTAAAAACCGCTGTATACAAGCACGCAAAATCACCCAAAAATCGTTCAAAACTGTGCAGAAACTGCTCAAATTTGCTATGCTCAAGAGTGAATGCAGTCTTAGACTGATCAAAGAGCCCTGATTGCTGAGTTCTCGCTTTTCAGTGAGCAGAGAGCCAGTGACTGCTAGTCACTGGCCCTCTGCTCTGCCCCCTCTACTGCTCACTGGAGTGCTGAACTGTGGACGGGGTGATAGCAGCATGCTGAGAGGCTGATCCAGTTGCTGGTCCAAGCATCTGGGTGGATCCCAACATCAAAATCAGGATCTCTTCAGAGTCTGGATAGGCTCTATGACGTCAGCCATTCAGCCGCTGTTAGGATCCCTCCAGAGTCTGGATCAGCTCTGTTACATCAGCAGGAGTGCAGAACTGAGTGCACTACTGTGATCCATAGGAGAATTAGGGCCAAGCGAGCTCTCCTTTAATGGTGTTCTTTACCCTATAGACTTTTACTGTTTTACCAAACCCAGTTGTCCATGTAAGTGACAGCCCCAGGCAAAAGTAATAAATAAAAAGTAATAGCACACGTTCCCTGTGCTAGCTGTCAGTTTTCAAAAATAGTGTTGGCTGTGCGGGGCTCCGCCCACCTGGCTGCGTCGTTCGTTCACAGTGTTCTGTGAATGAATAGACTACAAGTCAGCTTGTAGTCCTCAAAAGACTACCATGACTTCCTGTCAGCAAGTATCGACTTGCCCATACGTGTGCAGGAGACCTGCATGGCATCAGCAATCTACTACAGCAATGCTTTATGCTAGCCATATGTGGGTTGAAATTCGACTGATTTTTCATCCGAAAATCGAAGCTAAAAATAATCGGACGATTTTCGCTCTGTTAGTGGGTCAATGGCACCGGACGATTTTCATGGTTCCTCCCCTTTTCGATGATCGGGCATGTTGGAAAATTCATGAAAAATAGACCGATGACATCAGCAATCTACTACAGCAATGCTTTATGCCGGCCATACATGGGTTGAAATTCGACCGATTTTTTTGTATGAAAATCAGACCTAAGAATAATCAGCCGATTTTCGCTCTGTTAGTGGGTCAATGGCACTGGACGATTTTCATGGTTCCTCCCCTTTTCGATGATCGGGCATGTTGGAAAATTCATGAAAAACGACCGATTTTTCGACTCAATGATGGTCAAATCGTACAATTTTACATTTTTCCGAAAAGAATATGCGCATGAGCCATGACCTGGAAGGAACAGAAGTTTTGCCTGTTATATGGGGAGAACTTTATGACTTGGTCGGCCAATTATTAAAATCATTGATGGTACCATTGGAATACCGAGTGAACGTTTTCAATTTTCTGACAAAAAATCGTTTGGGATTCAACCCATGTATGGCCTGCATTACAGTCTCCTAACACAAAAAAATTATAAATGCACATTTTTTTACCTGCAAAAAAATGTGCATTTATTATTTTTTGTGGAAAGGTACATTTATCGTTTAAACCTAATGCAGTTTAATCCAGCAGTAATGTGTCCTATCCCTTCATCCAGGTAATGCTCTTACTGCAGTATGGTGATTCAGTTGGGAAAAAGTATTGGCATCGCTATAAGTTAATATGGAGATGAACACAGAAAACTGAGCATTCCCTTTGTCTGCCTTCCAGGCATTGATAGGTAGAATACATGACATGATCAGAACATCAGATGTGCATGTTAGAAGAATAGAGGATTGTTAAGGGATGTGTATGTTTATATCTGAATGTATTGCTAGCTCAATCATATCAAATCACATCAAATAAATCCAACATTTTGACATCTGCCTCTGTGAAACCAACTTTGGTTCCAGATTGAATCAGCTACTGTGAAGAAGCTGGATAGAAACTTGTATGTCGGGCAGGAGCTAGAGGAAGTATATACCGAACTTGTTAAGAACCTTTCCACAAACCACCTGAGGTTTGATCAGGTATGCCTTCCTTTTTCTTTTCTTATCTGTTGTAAGCCAAGTAAAATAGATTTGTCTGTATTAGCAGCCTGGTACCAGCCCAATGTAAGTACTATAAAAATCTTGTAACAAAATTGATTTAAAGTATATCTGAACCGTCACCTTGTTAAGCAACCTGTTCAGCTTGAAACAGAAATGAAAGGCAATCTATGTGTATACATATAAAAAAAACACTATAAATACCCTTTTTCCCCTTTTTTATAAGTGATCACATAACCTCTATTCACAGCTGCATAAGGCGCTCAGAGAGCTGAGGGAGGAGAAACAGATGATACTAGTCGTCTTGGTGAACGGCTGTGGGGGGAATCAGGGGGGAGGGGCGTGTCAGCACAAGACTGATCATTGAAGAACAGACTGAGTTCCCAGAGCAACCAGAAAATTGACCACACTGCGCTCTCATGCCTAGTGTGGTCAGTTTTAATAGGAAAGCAAAGAGACTGGCAGGAACACCAGGGATTTCACTCAAAGGAAGCAATGGTACATGGTACAGCAGACACATATCAGGAATATAACATGACCCGAGCATTGTTTTTTTTTATTCAAAAAAAGTGCAGTTAAGCTTTAAATGCCAACTACAAGGCTTCCCTGATTTCATTATTGCTTTGTATAAACATTTCAACAGTGGAGACAATCACTGAATTTATTTAGTTATGTTATGTTATATTACTGTGACTGGTACAGTGGTTGGACATTATGAGAGGTATAATGTGTATAGAACATCTTACAGCAATACATTGGGATGCTTTTGATCTTTTTCAAAACATTTGGGAATCATGGAATTGGGAACTCCCAACACTTTAAAGATTACATTTTCATTTCCTAATTTTCTAAGCTGCCAGCAAGATCCCATGTTACAGTTCTTCGTATGCTGTACACAGCTACAATTTAATTAATGTTTATATATGTACAGTCATAAAGCATATTTGCGTCTGTTGGCCACCAAAGCTGCTCAGCTAGATGCTAGGACACAGATGGGTTCTACCATCAGCATCCTAGCAATGGAGGACACCAATCCTGCCACCAAATAGGCAGTCAGTTCTCTATCAGGTCAGCTCTTACAGCTGATAGGAAGAGCCATTCTGGCCTGTATATAATTTGATTGGCTGCACCAATTAAATTCTGCATAGATAGAAATAGCTCATCCCACCATATAGGGGAAGAGCCATTCTGGCCTGTATATACCAATTAAATTCTGCATAGATTTGATTGGCTGGATATAATTTGATTGGCTGGACATTAAATTCTGCATAGATAGAAATAGCTCATCCCACCATATAGGGGAAGAGCCAGCCAATTTGATCTGGCCAATGTATAATAATTTAGATTGGCTGGACCAATTAAATTCTTCATAGATAGAAATAGCTCCATCCCTCACAAGCCAACAGAGCAGACCTGATGGTATATGATGGGATGGGATGTAACATATTCTTTAACTTTATAAGAGGGTATTACATAATCTTTATTTGCCCATCTTTTCTAAAGAAGAAAGAAAAGCTGCAGTCACAGTTTTAGGCAAATTGAATTTATTAGGAGCGCAATGAATTTTCACAGAATAAAGTACACTTAGTACAACTTGTACAAGATATATACAGCATATGCAAATAGGAATAAATTCAGTAAATGAAGAAGTAATAATATGGCAAACAGGCGAACATTGGTATAAAGATATCAAATTAGAATAATGTGCCGGAGAAGCAGAAAAAGCCTGTCATAAGTGCACTTGAGTTTAAGGGCTCATTCACTGGGATGTCGAAAACTCTGGATTCAGAGGCATACAGCTTATAGTTTTGTAAGCATCCGAATTCAGCTCTAATTAAGTTTATGGACCCAGACACATAGTTGTGTCTGGTAGCATCAATTTGCTCTATGCCTCAGTGTCAATCAGTGTAGAAAAAAAGTAAGACACAAGGGCCATATATTACGCCATAATTAACAATGTATGCATGTAAATGTTTGTGCAGCATTTACATCTGTAACGTCATACCCTATGGACCGCTCCCCCTGCTCAGGGCTGATATATAAATGATCAATATTGTGGCACTGATTATACACTTTTGATTTGACATGTTGCTCATTCATTCATTGGCTATGGAAGTGGAGGGGCTAGTGGCTATCTAGCTTGTAGTTGACCCTATCAGGTCCACTCTGATATACAGTGGACAGGCTGTGGGGGGTATTATGTCGGTGATGAGTAGGTAGTACAATCTTATGATGGATGTGACTCTCGGGTCCCCGTCCATAATGAGGAAACCTTCCAGCATGGAATTCACTAGAACTTCCAAGCCAAGATAAACTCCTGCTGTGCCCACTTACTACTACCTACTGTGCCCACCCATGTGCCAATGTGCCGTCATCTACTTTGCCCACCTGCTCATGCATCATGTCCTCTTCCCTCCTATTTTCACCACCTGCCATCACCTACCAGCAGCTAATGCTTCCTCCATATTTTATCCTACTGTGTCTACCAGCCAATACGTGCCCTTACTATAGCAAAAATAACATAAGAAATATGTTTTTTTACCTTAATGTCTACCTTAAATCTCATTGCTAATTACATATTGTAATTGTTTGTAGCTTAAATACTGAAATTTGCACTTAAACTGTAATTTGTTAACTTTTGGCCAGTAAAAACCTGGCCGTGCCAGTAAAATTTGGGTGTCATGTCAGTGAATTTTAATCTGGTAGGTTTGCAATACTGATTTTTATTAAGTATGTAAACCACCTGCGCTACTCAGAATAAAGATAAATATAAAAATCAGGAAGCTGCTATCATCTGGCTATACACCTGAATAAGTTGCAAACATAAAAAAGAAAATGGTGTTGCGCTTCCTTACACAGTGCCTAAATACACGTATATACCATAATTAGTGCATAAATATAAATCTCAAATAAATTCTAACAAAAAGAAATACACACATCAAAAAAGACAATATCATGTAATAATATGCAAAAAAATACATAAATGTGTAAACAGGAAATAGACATCACACACTGGAGAAAATGGTGAGACAATGTACATACATCCCTTAAACAGGGAAAAAAGTGACATAAATCACAAATAAACACAGTGAAAATGGCATAAAATATGCCTGAAACACTGCCGTGACCAGAAGACTCGCAACTGGCGTGAATAATATACAGTGAGACTGTCAGAATAAAAACCTGACTCAAAACAACATTTTCAGACCACACAAAGTCCTTCCACATAAATGTGTTACAAAATGTGATAAGTGACCAAAATAAACAATATATGACTCATGTGATCAAATCCCTAATTGGGACTTAATTATATGAACACAAATATATAAACAGTGTCACAATATATCACAATGTGCTGCAAAAAAACAAACAAAAACATAAAAAAAAAACCTACTAGCCACGTAATGCCACAAATATTGTGCAACTATATAATATAATAATAAGCAACAAATGTCCCCATGTGAACTCTTCAAAGTGAAAAAAATTCCACGGTGATATAGGTGAAAAAAATTGGGATCCATGACCGGCTGGATTGCCCCCCTCACCTTCATACAGCAACCCCAAAGGGCCAATAAGCCTCCACACTATAAGGTGCAGCAATACGGCCAATCAGCATAATTGAATCCAGTTTAGCAGTAGTGGTGGTACCCCCCTTATGGAACAATAGGTATGACCAATCTTGATATCCAAACTTCTTTTAGGCAGGATGATAATATCAGCCAAATCACATATATATTGGAAAGAAGAAAAGAAATCCTCCCATAGTTTAATACTGTAACTTTATTTTAAATGTCGTAAGCCAGCAAATTTCTCGCTCACATTTCCATTGATAAAAACAAGCTTACAAAGCTTAGGGTAATAACCTGAGTGGTATCCTCTATCCCCATTGTTCTTTCTAAAATTACCAGGTGGTTCCCGATCGGGAATTTATTTCTAACTATTGTTAGAATTTATTTGAGATTTATATTTATGCATTAATTATGGTATATAAGTGTATTTAGGCACTGTGTAAGGAAGCGCAACACCATTTTCTTTTTTATTATTAATACTGATTTTTTACCCATTATATGTCTGCCTTTTTTATCTTTCAAGGATTTGGAATTTGAGCCCTATGCAACAAAAATGGATCTCTCTGTGTGTACAGCTTCATCGACATTAACCAAAAAAACTAACCAGCGAGTGATCAACAGAGATCTAGATTCCTTGGCTGCCAATAATGAGTGTGAAAGGTAATGATCAGAGAGGGATATTAGGGACATTGTATATTGTAATAATCTAGGGACATACTCATCTGAAATGTGAACACATTGATTACAGAAGAACAGAGAACTGGGCTTCTCTGGGTTTGTGCAGGAGTTTGTATTGTATTATTTATTATTAATAGAATTATACATGAAATCTACTGTTTATAACTGCCTCTTATGGAGCAAAGAGTCAGGTATAGGCACCATTTGTTTATTTATTACAGGCACTTATATAGACCCGTCAATCATAAATACCACTCGGTGTACCATTTGTTTATTACAGGTACTTATATAGCGCCGTCAATCATAGATACCACTCGGTGCACCATTTGTTTATTTATTACAGGTAGTTATATAGCACCATCAATCATAGATACCACTCGGTGCACCATTTGTTTATTTATTACAGGTTCTTATATAGAGCCGTCAATCATAAATACCACTCGGTGCACCATTTGTTTATTACAGGTACTTATATAGACCCGTCAATCATAGACACCACTCGGTGCACCATTTGTTTATTTATTACAGGTACTTATATAGCGCCGTCAATCATAGATACCACTCGGTGCACCATTTGTTTATTTATTACAGGTTCTTATATAGAGCCGTCAATCATAGATACCACTCGGTGTACCATTTGTTTATTACAGGTACTTATATAGACCCATCAATCATAGATACCACTCGGTGCACCATTTGTTTATTTATTACAGGTACTTATATAGCGCCGTCAATCATAGATACCACTCGGTGCACCATTTGTTTATTTATTACAGGTTCTTATATAGAGCCGTCAGTCATAGATACCACTCGGTGCACCATTTGTTTATTTATTACAGGTTCTTTTATAGAGCCGTCAGTCATAGATACCACTCGGTGCACCATTTGTTTATTTTTATTACAGGTTCTTTTATAGAGCCGTCAGTCATAGATACCACTCGGTGCACCATTTGTTTATTTATTACAGGTACTTAGATAGCGCCGTCAATCATAGATACCACTCGGTGCACCATTTGTTTATTACAGGTACTTTATATAGCGCCATCAATCATAGATACCACTCGGTGCACCATTTGTTTATTTATTACAGGTACTTTTATAGCACCGTCAATCATAGATACCACTCGGTGCACCATTTGTTTATTTATTACAGGTTCTTATATAGAGCCGTCAGTTATAGATACCACTCGGTGCACCATTTGTTTATTTATTACAGGTACTTATATAGACCCGTCAATCATAGATACCACTCGGTGCACCATTTGTTTATTTATTACAGGTTCTTTTATAGAGCCGTCAGTCATAGATACCACTCGGTGCACCATTTGTTTTATTTATTACAGGTACTTTTATAGCACCGTCAATCATAGATACCACTCGGTGCACCATTTGTTTATTTATTACAGGTACTTAGATAGCGCCGTCAATCATAGATACCACTCGGTGCACCATTTGTTTATTACAGGTACTTTATATAGCGCCATCAATCATAGATACCACTCGGTGCACCATTTGTTTATTTATTACAGGTACTTATATAGCGCCGTCAATCACAGATACCACTCGGTGCACCATTTGTTTATTACAGGTACTTATATAGCGCCGTCAATCATAGATACCACTCAGTGCATTATTTATTACAGGTACTTATATAGCGCCGTCAATTTACACAGCGCTTTACATATAGCGCTATAACAGTAATAAATTCATCATCGTGCATGCAGTCAAATTTTGATTGTCCTTTAAAGTGTCCCTGTAGATTCAAAAAAGTGCCTGTGCAATAAAGGTGCCACATTAAAGTGCAAACATGTGTGCCATTAAAATAAAGTGTTCCGTTCTACGTGCAAATGTATTCCGCTCCTCCAACTTTGTGCAATCACCTGTGTCCGACTCAGGGATCGAACTCGCCAGAGCTTGTTGACCCTCTAAGTATACGCTAGGGAAAGGTCAATATGCGGTTTTACACAGTCCCACTGTGTATAATACCATTCTCCTTAGAAGCAGATGTCCCAATGTTTATAGAGAGGAAGCCATAGACAAACTTCATAGGGTTTAATTAAAACTCAGAAATAAAACAATAGCACACTCACATATTTTGGTGCCCTGTTGACTGCCTAACAAGCTGCTGATCAGGCTTTTGCTTTTTATCCACACTGGAATAAATACCATTGTAGGTCCAGTCCACGTCTGGTCTGTTCACTTTGTTGCCAGTCAAGCCCGGATGAAGGGAGCACTTAGACCCCAAAACAAGTTGGCTCCTTTCGAATTATAACCCTGACCTTTAATGGAATAGAGTTGTATCTGGACCTCTTTAGCAGTGGTATGACACTTCAGTTTCAACTCTTTTTACATTACACTACAAGCCAGAGAGACTGGTGTAAAAGCCACCTGCCCAGGAACCAGATCATTTACACCATTAATACCATAAGGTAACAATACCAGTGGAGTGTACCTGCAGGTCCAGCGCTGTTTGTTCACTTTCCTCAACTGACTTTTATGCTGGCCATACACACATACAGTAGATTTCTTCAGCTATGCTAAACAGTGTTGATGGAGTAATCTTCCCTGCCTACTATTGTACTCAGAATGCCACAGCACCTGTGACTGTCTATTTCTGATAGAATGCAGTCACTGTTCCACCAACAATTTTCAGTTGGCTCTTTCAATTTTTCAGACAAAGCTTGTCAAGTTTGATGGTTCTGTCAGGTTCACCCTTAGCTCGAATTTGGGCCAATTCAACAGGAAAGAAATTAGATCTGTATGTGGCCAGTTTACAGCCTAAGGCTAGGTTCACATCTGTGTGGGTGGTGCCGCTGCGGATCCGCACGAAAATCCATGCTACCACACAGGGGCGGACTGACAACTCATGGGTCCCCCGGGCAATAGGGGATCATGGGCCCCTGTGTCCTTGCCCAAACTCAAAAAAGCCTGTGAAAAAGGTACCAGGGGCATCTCATGGGGCCCCCTACTGACCCCGGGCCCTCGGGCAGTGCCCAAGTTTCCAAATGGTCAGTCCTCCCCTGCTACCGCACCACTCGCACAGAGAAATGAGGACCCGTGGGTGGGTGCCATTAGTTATAATGGCACGCCGCCCGCACTGGAAAATGCAACTGTACTGGGAACCGAGGTTCCCGTGCGGGCTGCGTTTTTGAAAGAAGTGCAGGGACCTCTTTCTCTGCGTGTCAAATGAATGGGCTCTTCATGCCCACGCAAAAACGCGGCCCGCACGGCCGCATATATGTGAACCAGGACTAACTGCAGAATTGGACAAAATCTAGCCTTGCAGTGCAACCCTTCGCACACTTAAAGGGGGAGATGAGAAGGCTGTATTGTGCATGAAAAACTGATGCAAATGGATGTCTCTGCAAATAAAATGGCGTGTCCATTTCCATCGGTGCATGTATGGTGTGAACAAGGCATAAAAGAAGGAAAACTGAAGGCTTTGTTAATTGACAGTTACACCCTACTTCAGCAGCTTGGAAATTGGATATGCTTTCTGCTTTGGGTAGAGGCAGGAAATAGGGCATCTTCTCCGGGAACTTTCAGTCTTGACACTCAGGGAGAATATGTGTTAATAACAAGAAGCACAGCTATTCCTACAAATCAAAGCTGCACTCTTACAGCAACTTACGTATGGAGATTTAGATTCCGACAAATGCCTAGTTTAATTCAGTTTTCTTTAGAATCTCTATGGCCTAATCATTTTTCCTGATTGTGTATCTGTTGTACATCTATAGCACTATCAGTCTGAAGTTAATAAAGTATAAGTTGCAGTGGAAGCTAGAAGGTCCACCCTTCCTGGCTCTGGATGTTTTTTTATCTCTTATGAGCGCTCTGACTTGGAGATCTTTGCACCCTAGTTCCCAGCTCTGATTATCTGTCACACCTATAAAGAGGGTGTGTTGTTGTTATTGGATTTTAGATTCATTTACATTTTAGAGACATCAGCAGGATAAGTGAAACTATTTTTTTTTTGATGTTTTTTTTAGTTGTAGTGTAGGGCAAGGACCATTAACAGGTAATATGGAGTCCCTGAGGCTCCATTCACACTGAACTGATTGTTTTTCAAGCATTTTTTCATGCGTTTTTTTCAGGCGTCTTTGAGCGTTTTTTAAGCACATTTGCAAATATTATAGGCATTTTTCATTAGGCGTTTTTGCTGTGGCCAATAGGAATAGAAATAGCTACTGTTTGAGCTGAAAATGCCTGAAAAAACACTTGAAAAAAGCTGATTCACACTGTTCAAGCGTTTTCCATTCAAGTCTATGGGGGCAAATTCCCAGCATCTGCCTGAAAAAGTAGCACAAGTACTTTTTTGAGTGACCGGTGCTTGCTTATGCTACAGGCAAACACAACGCTCAAGTGTGAATAGGGGACCATTGAAAATAATGGGATTTTACTTGTTGAGTGTTTTTGAGAGTCAAGCTTCGAGCTGAAATACACTCAAGTATGAACGGGGTATTCACACTTGAGCATTTTTTCAGCTCAAAGCTCAACGCTCAGAAACACTCAACAAGGAAAATCCCATTCATTTTAATGGCCCCTGATCACATTTGAGCATTTTGTTGCCTGTAGCAAAACGCCTGTCCGCTCAAAAAAGTACGAGTTACTTTTCAGGCAGATTTGAGCATGTCTTTTGCTCAAGTCCCTCTTTGTTAAAAACGTTTAAAAAGGTAAAAAAAAAAACATTGAAATACAAAGAAACCCCCCAGAAGCATTTGTAAGCTCATCATAAGCATCACAGAAGCAGGTCAAAAGTAATTCAAAGCAATTTAAACAGGAGTCAGAGCAATACAAATGCATAGTACACCCATGGCTGTAGGACCAGAAGTGAGTCTTTCCACTATTGTCTGCTACATACCCATCCAGCTCGATAGATAAATACTGCCAACACTTATGTGTTGACCTGAGTATATGAAAGATGTCAAGTAAGTATATTAATTAAAGCGCTTCCCTCATTAAATTCAGCACCAGGTAATTCAATACACACAGAATTGTAAGACCTCACTGCATTTATAGATTACAACATGCACTTAAGACTTCTAGCAGACGGTACACTCCATATAGGGATAGCTCTCCCAGCATGTTGAGATGACTGACTCCTGCTCATACCCACGAGTTGCGTCATCCCGGCCAATGGAGATGTCCTAAGATCAGCGCTCGGAGAGAAGATGTTGATATCGGCAAGGGACCTGGTTACTATTAGAGTAAAAACATATAGTGCCTTCAGTTCTGCTTTAACTGCCAGATCTTGCTTGCTTCTGTTTTGTAGATCTGGCATCTAAGCCATTCTAGGGTGCTTGTTAATGTCTTTAAAAAATTAGTGAAATGAGATTCTAGGCCTTTACTATAATCAAATATTCAGATCCATATCAACTTTGGAATCCCATACAACTAAACCACAGATGAAACTCCTTATTTAATAAACCTTGGGAATCTGCTAGGTATGCCTCATTGGAACTAAATGCCTATAATTTAAATTGTGCAAGGAGCAGTGAGCCAATTACAAGGTTGTGGGAAATCTACTGTTGCTATCAAATTCAGAAAGACAAATCTTAGTTCTTTAGGATGTTAACAGAAAATTATTGCTGGCTATATATTGAAATGGTTCGATAATTTGCAATCAGTTGCTCAAATTTGGGGCTTACATTTTCGATGTCTAATCCAGGGGTTAAAATTTAGAGTCCAGACCTACTAGCCGGTCACAAAACTTACTCTCCACCAGTTGCCCCACCCAACCTTACCTAGGTCCGCCCCCAACCCAACCCCTGGTCCACCCCAAAACCCCACCCCCAGCCCGCGCCCAACCTCGCCCCCTTAAAGCTTATGAAAATACATTTTTCTTTAGAATAAATAGTCCAAAATATAAAACTGTACACAGTAATGTATATTCCAGCTCCCCTGTACTCCATTATAGTGATATGACATGTATACAGTAATGTATATTCCAGCTCCCCTGTACTCCATTATAGTGATATGACATGTATACAGTAATGTATATCCCAGCTCCCCTGTACTCCATTATAGTGATATGACATGTATACAGTAATGTATATTCCAGCTCCCCTGTACTCCGTTATAGTGATATGACATGTATACAGTAATGTATATCCCAGCTCCCCTGTACTCCATTATAGTGATATGACATGTATACAGTATGTATATCCCAGCTCCCCTGTACTCCGTTATAGTGATATGACATGTATACAGTATGTATATCCCAGCTCCCCTGTACTCCGTTATAGTGATATGACACGTATACAGTAATGTATATCCCAGCTCCCCTGTACTCCATTATAGTGATATGACACGTATACAGTAATGTATATCCACCTCCCCTGTACTCCATTATAGTGATATGACATGTATACAGTAATGTATATTCCAGCTCCCCTGTACTCCATTATAGTGATATGACATGTATACAGTATGTATATCCCAGCTCCCCTGTACTCCATTATAGTGATATGACATGTATACAGTAATGTATATTCCAGCTCCCCTGTACTCCATTATAGTGATATGACATGTATACAGTAATGTATATTCCCAGCTCCCCTGTACTCCATTATAGTGATATGACATGTATACAGTATGTATATCCCAGCTCCCCTGTACTCCATTATAGTGATATGACATGTATACAGTATGTATATCCCAGCTCCCCTGTACTCCATTATAGTGATGTGACACGTATACAGTAATGTATATCCCAGCTCCCCCGTACTCCATTATAGTGATGTGAAACGTATACAGTATGTATATCCCAGCTCCCCTGTACTCCATTATAGTGATATGATATGTATACAGTATGTATATCCCAGCTCCCCTGTACTCCATTATAGTGATATGACATGTATACAGTAATGTATATCCCAGCCCCCCTGTACTCCATTATAGTGATATGACATTTATACAGTAATGTATATCCCAGCCCCCCTGTACTCCATTATAGTGATATGACATGTATACAGTAATGTATATCCCAGCTCCCCTGTACTCCATTATAGTGATATGACATTTATACAGTAATGTATATCCCAGCCCCCCTGTACTCCATTATAGTGATATGACATGTATACAGTAATGTGTATCCCAGCTCCCCTGTACTCCATTATAGTGATGTGACGTGTATACAGTAATGTATATCCCAGCTCCCCTGTACTCCATTATAGTGATATGACATGTATACAGTAATGTATATCCCTGCTCCCCTGTACTCCATTATAGTGATATGACATGTATACAGTAATGTATATCCCAGCTCCCCTGTACTCCATTATAGTGATATGACATGTATACAGTAATGTATATCCCAGCTCCCCTGTACCCATTATAGTGATATGACATGTATACAGTAATGTATATCCCAGCTCCCCTGTACTCCATTATAGTGATATGACATGTATACAGTACTACTCCTTGAATCCCCCGTGGCGGTGGAGAGGGTGTCTCCTCTCAGCGTAGGAGAGCGGACCTCTCCTGCACTTCTCCCCTCGGCGGCGGTGCCGCAGAAGCCGGAAACCGGAAGTTGTAAACCGGAACTCGGCTTCACAATGAGGCTTGGAGCACAGGTGCAGTCGCTCCATGCTTCATCTGTGCTCACCGCCCGCAGCCGCTCACCACAGAGGAATTTCTCCTCGCATTTGGCGTGCAGGCGAGCGGCTTTTTCAAGCCCTGGTCTAATCTATTTGTCAGTTTTTAGTGTATCATACAATTTGATACATACATGGAAGGATGAATCCAGCAGTCATGGTAGTAGAAAAAACAAAGATACAGAAGATTGTGTCACCTTTATGTTTTTAAACTTATTTGATACTTGTATTGTTGTCAAAATATTTGACCTTTTTTTTTTCTGCTTGGTTATCAAGTGTCATGCAACACATACCTACTGATAAAGAAGCTTCTAGAGTTTTTAACTCCTGGCTTGTTTGGTGGAAGTCGGTTGTCAACACTGATGATTACATGAAATATGTATCTACACAGGTACAGTCTTTTCATTTTCATCTAATCTTTTTGTTTTCTTTTACAAAATAATTGTGAGTAGGCTGGCTGCACATACAATGGATCAAGCGACCAAGTAAATACAAATATAAACATGGTATTTTCACACTTTTTAAAAACGTTTAAAATAGAACTTCTAATTTGGAGACCTAGCTAGCCAAGAATGGAGGATCATGGTCAGTCCAGAATCCACACATTTTTGAACATTTAAACTGTGGACTATAATGGCTGTCATGTTCAATGTAAAAATTGTTCATGGGCTTAGTATGATTTTGCTTCTATAAATTCAGTATATATCACTATTGTAGCTGCATCATTCTGAAATATTATGTAACATCAATTAATTGCAGTTGATTAATTACAATGAATTGTTTTTTCATATAAACGGTCTGTTATTAACCACTTGCTGACCGTTAGACATACATGTACAGCATGTCAGTAAGTGGTTATACTAGTGATCAGCTGTCCAGTAAAAGTGATCCTTGCTGCTCTACAACTGCCCAATCACTTTTACGGTACTAGGAAGGGTTGTCTTCACTTGCCCTCCCGCTGGGTGGTTTCCAGGCTGCCCTGTTTCCACAGGAAGCCCGAGACCACAGTAAACAGCTAGAATGGCTTCACTCAGTGTAGATGGAGGAACATCCATTCCCTAATCTCTGCTGTGACTAATAAAACCAGAAGTGATGATCATTTCCTCACTTCTGGTTTCAGAGCTGCTATTCCCTGGCTGTTACAGCTTAGCTGCTTTGGAGGGCGGGGGAGACATTGGGGGTGAAAAAGAGTACCTGTCACTTACTCAAAGCTATCACATAAGTTACATTTTAAAAAAGTATTTTAAAAAAATGAATTTTAATACAAAAACTAACCTTCATAAGTCTTTGTCCCAACCTTCATAAGTCAGTGTGCCAAAAGACATCATTCTGTGTACATTGGGAGCTGTGCAACTGGTGCTATTCTGACTATGTGAATTACCATGTTTGCTATTTCATCATGGACAGCAAGTTAGAAGAAAGAACAAACGTGAAATTCAGCATGGAACCCGTACACCCAAGTCACTGGTAATGATCCTCAACATGAAGGACGGGTCATCCATGGCACGCTGACGGAGTTCGTAGCAGACTTTGATGCAGTGTTCCTTCTGCTCCTGGGTCAGCAGCATGGGGATGAACTTGGCAGCAACACGACGCATGTTCCAATCACATGTGAGGATTGCCTGGACTGATCTGTATGACACACCGACAATGGCAACAATGCTGTGGATTGTTCTCAGACAATCATCATGCACAAGTTGCCGAATGGATTTGACATTTTCAGGGGTTGAGCTCGTAGAAGGTTGTCCTGATCTTTCGCTGTGTTCCAGTGATGTTCTTCTGCTCTTGAAGCATGCATGCCACACAAAACACATTGAACGACTCATTGCAGCATCACCGTAAACTTGCCGAATTATGTCAAACATCTTTGTGGCAGATTTGCCCAGTTTTGCACAGAATTTCATGTTTGCTCTTTATTCTAACTTGCTGTCCCTGATGAAATAGAAGATGTGGTAACCTACGTGGTCAGAATAGCACCAGTTGCACAACTTCCGATGTACACAGGACGATGTCTTCTGGTACATTGACATATGAAGGTGGGTGCTCCCTGTGACTGTGCATGCAGCCTTGTGCTGCCATCTGTTGGTGTGTTACAAAACCAGCCTTGAAACTTTTTGATACCACCTCATATATGTAGCGATGTGTTAAATCTGGGAGTCCATTGTCTTGTGTTAGCAAACACTTATCAATACAATGCAACATCACAAGGCCCCAAATTGGGACAGGTTTAAAGCATGGAGCTAAATATAGATTTGAAATGCATTTATGGAAATTGTTTTACCTGCCAAGTGTTGTAATTCTTTGGATTCAGATACTCGGCCTACAGTGCAGCAGCAGCAACATGGCTTGGTGAAGGACATTGGAGAAAACCATACTGCAGCTTATTAATAATTGGGTTATGAAGTAGCAGCAGAACACTAATGAGGTCATTCTCCTCACTCACTTTAGGCACCTCTCCTATAGGCATGTCCACTGCAGCATGTGTGCGTGTAGCAGAGCCTGATTGGTCTCAGAAGACAATGGACTCCCAGATTTAACACACGTGTATTAAGAACATTTCATTGTGATTAAAGGTGTATCCTAGAGCTGCAGCTTCTGAGCCTGTGTTTCGCCAGTATTCCTTGCCTTTAAATAACCCACTCTAAAGCCCATGTCACTTCTTTGCAGCTCTGCGTGCCTTGTTTGCGCAGTCAAGGCAGGCTATTTGTGTGAATGGGCTGTTGTGTCAGAGTTTCCTGCAGAGAAAACTTTGAGTTTAGATCTACTTTAAAAAAAATATTTTGTGGATGTCTGAATGCCAGACCACTGCTACCCTGTTTTCAAAGTAATTTTTGTAATGTTAGATGGCTTGTTTCTAAGTTTACATCCCTGTTTCAGGACCTGGATTACCTAAAGGTGATTTACCATTTATACAACAGTGATTCTGAAGATGAAGAGCAGGCACGTGTTGCTTTAATTAAGAAGCAAGAAGAGAGAAAAAGAGGTTTGAATATTTGACAGCTTTACTTTACTTGAGATTAATTATTATTATTATACAGTATTTATAAAGCGCCAACAGTTCGCTCAGTGCTGTACATTACAATGAGAGACAGAACATGCAACAGTACAATAATAATACAATGCAATACACGAGGGGTTCGAGGGCCCTGCTCCTTGGAGCTTACAATCTAGGAGGGAGGGGAGAGTGGTACGGGAGGAATAGCTGTGGGGGATGGAGTGGTAGGAAGAGTGGAGGAGGTCGGGAATTAGCAGGGGGTGGGGTAGGCTTCCCTGAAGAGGTGGGTTTTCAGGGTGCGCCTAAAGGAGAGGAGAGTAGGTGATAGTCTGATGGATTGGGGTAGGGAGTTCCAGAGTATGGGTGACGCCCTGGAGAAGTCCTGGAGGCGGGCATGGGATGAGGAGACTAGGGAACTAGAGAGAAGGAAGTCTTGTGAGGAGCGGAGAGTGCATGCATAACCGCATGCCTAGGTTATAATCAGAGTAAAATAAAGCCAAAAAAAGTGAGCGCACGGACTCAGACAAAGCAGATAGCATGAAAGGATGAACCCCTATATCCTCAAAAGCATGTAAAAACATAAAATGCAATGCTATGAAATATTAAATAACCAAGGTGCTAGTAAATAAAGTGACAATAGTGACAAACTGAATGTGAGGTGCTCTGAAATTAGCACTAAAGGGAATAATGATGCATATGTGTCACGCTAAATGACAGCAAGAAAGTGATATCAAAAAGTTAATATAAAGTGACAATGGTGAACAGCCCAATATAAAATGAATAAATGAATGAGATCATCCAGATGAATATCAAATAAACGTCCAAGAAATCTCCATGATGAACAGGTGAAAAGTGACTCCGTGATAGATAATGCTTTTGAATGCACTCACCAGAAACACATATTAAATGCGCATTTATTCTGTCCACTGTGGAGAAGTTGCTGGAGTCATCCCTGTAATGCAGTGAGAGGACAGTGGTGTTCTTCTTGTCTCCATACCATGATTTTTCCGGTGGATATTTTCCCTACCTGTGGAGGAGCAGGATATATTGCTATGCGCATTTAATATGCACTTCTGGTGAGTGCATTCAAAAGCATTATCTATCACAGAATCACATTTCACCTGTTCATCACAGAGATTTCTTGGACATTTATTTGATATTCATCTGGATGATCTCATTAATTTATTAATTTTATATTGGACTGTTCACCATTGTCATTTTATATTAACTTTTTGATATCACTTTCTTGCTGTCATTTAGCGTGACACAAATGCATCATTAGTCACTTTAGCGCTAATTTCAGAGTGCCTCACATTCAGTTTGTCACTATTGTCACTTTATTTACTAGCACTTTGGTTATTTAATATTTCATAGCGTTGCATTTTACGTTTTTACTAGGTTATAATCTACCTGGTCCGGTAGATTATAACCTAGTCTCCGCTCCATTCCGCTTGGAGAACAACAAAATATCTGCAAGTGTAGTGCTTTCTCTTAATCACAGAGGTTACTTTTTTCACTGTTCAAGTTTAAGGAAACAGAATTAACACGATTAAGCTGTTAGATGATCAGAAGAGTGTTTCGCTTCTGACATCGCTGTCACCTGCTATTATGAAGTTGACTGCTTAGGCTGATGTCATACTTGCTATCCTGCCGCTGGCGAGAAATTGCCAGTTGCAGGATCGCTATGATGGACATAACATTAAAATTCTCACCTACTTGCATGTGTCACTCCTTCACCAGCTGGATGAGCAAGGCAATGATCTCTTGATAATGATTTACGCTCTAGCAGTATTAAGGAGTAAGGCTTTGCTGTCAAAGCTAGTGAGGAAGTGACACATACAAAGCAGATGAGCATTCTCTTCACACATTAGCCTTACTCAGAACAGTAGTGAGCAATTGTAACATAACAATCATAAAACCTATTGTGAATGACCCAATATGCCATTGGACATCGGAATGATGTCACCATAAAGTAAAGCAGAAGTTGGACTGTTGCACACTATAACACTTATTTTTTTAAACCATATACGAAAAGCAAAACATGAAATCCATTTGGTTCATAATTCACCATCAGATTTGATCTAATTTCAAGTATAAAGACTGGATTTTTTTTATGTTTTACACAATGACTAGTAACATTTCATTCTTTAAAGAAACAAGGAAGCTGGTTTGTTGCTATCTGTAACAGGTCCACTTTGCTCTAGTTTTCTGTATTCCATGGTCACCATATCTAAGATTCTTAATTTTTCTGTAGTTTATAGACAGAATGAAGAATTAACTGTAAGAACAAGGTTTGGGTAATATATGACACTAGACCATTGAGCTTGTGCTACACTGAATTCAACTAAAGTGCTGATTATTGACTACTAGGATTGTGATTTTAATGCTGAGCCTTTAAAGGTAGATTGATTTATCCTGCTGTAGTAATATTATTTTATACCACTGAGTTTTTACTAATCAGATGGGAACACTTTATCAGCAGCAGCTTAAAGGTTTTTATTTTTTTTCTAATACATCCACAGGGTTGTGATTGTACAGAACATTTGTACTTTCTGTTAATTAAAAACCCCTGTGGGACAAGGGAAAGCTTTTACATTGTAGAGCCCTTATTGTTTTGTGTTCAGCATTTCCCTTGCCAAATTAATTTGCCAGATTCGATGGGGGGTCTATAACAGGCTGACTTTATTTTATTCATAGTAAAATGATTGTGTTCTTGGTGCTAATAATGATAATTTTAAAATATTTTTGCATAGGCAACGGGAGAAAAAGATTGCAGATCTCAGAGCAGAAAAGCAAAGTTACAAACCTGGCATGTGGAATGTCAACAGCGTAATGCTTGGGGGTCTTGGGTCAGACCCACCTGTACTGGGTAAGCTTACCTCTCAGATCTTTTACTATAAGCTACACCATTAATGCTACAAGCTTTAAATGTAGCTGTCACTAGGGCTTTATGTCCATTGTGTAGATTGGTCTGGTTGGATGGAACAGATTGTATTTTTGAAATGTACTCCGTATAATACCCCAAATCAGTCAAATATCAGCTTTCTGTAACCCCAGCATAGCAGGATTCAGACTTGGAGAAGGAGGGGCAGCACTGGGAACCAGTCAGGCTCTATTGCATGCACATGTGCTGGCAGTCAACATGCTAACAGCAGGACAGAGCATAAGGGTGAGCTTATCAGTTTCATACTGCTCCTTGACTGTCCAATCAGCAAGCTCAGAATATGTTTGGGTCCTACTGTAGTGCTGTAACTGCAGTGGAGGTCCTAGACTTGGCTATGCTGCCTGCTATGTGTTTAATTTGGCTGTACAGAATTAAAAATAATTTTGCATGTAAGAACATTGTTACATATGCTTTTCAGCTGTTTATTTAGCTGCTTTTAACTATGTGTGAGCATCTTTGTTTTTAGAAGAGATGGCTTGGGGATCAATTTTATTTTGATGCTTGAATGAACAGAGGGCACAAACTGGGGTGGAGAAAGTGGGATGAATAGAATTTAAGTGATCCTGCACCCCACTTTCAATTTGCAATGCAATATTTAGGGCACAAGTGAACATAAGGATTACCTTTTGGTGCTCAAGAGTATGAACCTAAAATGATTAGTCCACCCCAAACCACCTGAAAACTTTTTACATCTCTTGGGAAGTTTATTGATGAGAGCTCCAATTTTTTGGCTTTTTAATTACTTTTGTATTATGTTGAATGCAACAGGAGGTGCTGGGATGTATAAAGGTAGACAGGAACTCCCAAAACTCCCAGATGGACAAGGACAGGGTTGGGTATTGAGGAAGGGAAATCTCACTGTTGAAGTGTCCAAAACATAGATAAAGCCAGGGGATGGCTCAGTCAACCAGGCTACACCTATACCTAAAATGTCACTTGAGCAGACAGACCCTTTCAAAATATTCTCTTCACTATGTTACTTTTGTGCGAATGAACCCTTTCAGATATTCAGCTTTTTTGTTTGTACCGCTGTAACCTATAAATTGTTACCTTCCATGATGATGCTTTTCTTTTTTTTATTTTTTTAGACATGCTGATTATCCAACAATTATATTCATGGCCACTTTGCAAGGGTTGTCTTTGAGTTGCATAAGAAGTCAATGATTGTGGATCTCTTATCTTAATGGGGCCAAAGAAAATTATCTATCTGTGTCTATAGGCAATATATGCAGTGGATACCTCAATAATATACTCAGTGGATACCTCCAGGGGTGTATTTACCACAAGGCAAACAAGGCACTTGCCTAGGGCGGCATTTTTCAGGGGGGCAGCATCTCCCCCCAGAAGAAGGGATGGAAGAAGGGACACACACCCCATGGGAACCAGGTGGGATCTGAGAGAGGCTGTGGGATGTCCAGAGCTGTGAAGAAAGATGAGTGTCTTCCTCTCTTTCGCTGGGGGGGGGTAGTGGAAGGCTCTCCCAGGTGGGGGGGCAGGGGTGTTGTTGGTCAATGTCAGGCTTTCTCCATGGGAGGGGGAAGGAGGGGGTGTTGGTTCATGTCCATAGGGGCACACGATCTGCCCCTATGGACATGAATGGTTGCCTAGGGCAGCACAAACCATAAATTCACCACTGGATACCTCAATGGGGCTGTTGGAATTGCATTTATAGCATAGCTATTGATTCATAGCATTCTCAATCCTATTGGTATAGAGAAGCTCCGCCACACTGTTACATACAGTAAGGGAGAAAAAATATATTTTTAGAGGCATTTTGTCAGTATGAAGCTCTATGCTAGTTAAGCTGTGCCTAGTGCACTGTGTAATCAGGCAGAACATAAAAGGTTCCTAAGTCCTCTCCCATTCATGACTAGGTCTTGAGCCCTGCATACAAAAAAGTTAGAAAAAGCATTGGTTCATTGGAGTTTGATGCTTAATGTGCATGGAGAAGTTGAAAACAATCAGCTTCATTGTGCCTTAGAATTGGCATGCTAAGTTAAGTGTCAAGTAAGACCATCAAGATTCTATAAGAGTCTTCCCTAGAAGAAGGTTTAAAAAACTTCAGTGATTTGCTTTAATAAATAAAATGAAATGGACATAGCATTTTATAATGACAACTTTTGGACACTGTCACCTTATAATGTGCTAAGAGTAGCAGAGCTGTCAGAAAATGTCTGTTTCCATTGCTGGTGTTCAGGAACTGGAATAATAATACATACATCTTTCCTCTTCAAAGTGTGTTCTTTGTACAATTACAGTATGACCATTTAATGAACCATAGTTTTCACCTGGATCATTTCAGATGCTGATTTGGAACTAAAAGAATCAGTGAACACTTCATGTCAGGTATTTTGCAGTTATTTACCTAAACTGTAGTACATTCTCCATTAACCCCCTCTAAAGTTAGTTATGCGTGAATACACTGTACATTTTAGCACCAGACATATAAATCTGTTTGAAAAACTGGCAAAGTAAACGTTATTTTTTATTTATTTTTTTAACTTTTTTTAAAATCTACATTTCTTTTATACCATTATGCAGTTCTCTTTTATTTTTGCATTAAGGTAGACATATCTTCCAGCCATGTAGATCTTCAGAAGAAGATAAATGCTATATGGAATGCTCTTCACATACCAGAAGGCCAGCGGCTGGATTATGGCTATTAAATATAGTTCCAATGAGTACAGAGACCAGCTGCCAAAGGTAATAGATTTGTATTTCTAATAATTTCATTACACGTGTAGTTTAGGTTTAGTTTATCTAGAAACATTACATTTTCAACAATGATATCAGAAGTTATTGCTACTGAATTAAATTATTATTATTATTACTATTATTATCATACAGGATTTATAAAGCACCAACAGTTTGCATATCACTGTAGAATATATGGGAGACAATATAATTACAATCCAGTCCAATACAGTTCAGGGGGCCATTGAGATACATTTTTCACATCATGACACAGCACACCATGTTGATAGACACACAAAGAAAATTTTAATATTTAATATATTGAATGCTAATTACTTCTCTGCTTGATCAATACATGTTTCAGTTACCTCTTCAGTCTATTATGAATGCTGCTGCTCAGGGGCGGACTGACAACTCATGGGGCCCCCGGGCAATAGGGGATCATGGGGCCCCTGTGTCCTTGCTCACCCTCAAACCACACCCAAAAAAGCCTATGAAAGGTTACCAGGGGCATCTCATGGGGCCCTCTAATGACCCTGGGCCCTCGGGCAGTGCCGAGTGCCCAAATGGTCAGTCTGCCCCTGCTGCTGCTAGACCTATACACCCTTGCCAATGATCCATTGCCACTGTCCCTCTTTGCCAATCCCTTCACTGGTTTTCATTAGCCAACGTATGAAATTCAAATTACTAACCCACAACATACAACAGTCATCCACAACAATGCTCCCAGCTACATCACCAACTTCCCTCACAGAACATCTTGCTCTCCCTTGTTACCTTCTCCCATGCTTGACTTCAGGACTTCTCCAGAACTTCTCCTATCCTCTGGAACTCCTTACCCCCGTATGCTCAAGGTTAGCTCCTACCCTGTTTGCCTTTAGGTTATCCTTGAAAACTCATTTATTCAGGGAAGCCTACTCCACCTCCACCTAAAAACTGTACTTTTGCCACCTCCATCAGATCAGCCCCCGTAGTTATTACCATTTGTATCACCTCCTTTCTCCTTTTAGATTGTGAGCTCCATGAGCAGGGCCATCCTATTCCTTCTGTACTGAACTGTATTGTAATTACACTGTCTCTCTTTATATTGTAAAGCGCTAGGCAAACTGTTGGTGCTATATACAGTCATGGCCGAAAATTGTTGGCACCCTTGATATTTTTTCCTGAAAATCAAGTATTTCACACACAAAAAAAGATTGCATTAACACATGTTTTGCTATACACATGTTTATTCCCTTTGTATGTATTGGAACAAATATAAAACAGAGGCAGAAAAGCAAAATATGACATAATGTCACACAAAAAACCCCAAAAAATGGGCTGGACAAAAGTATTTGGCACCCTTAACTTAATATTTGGTTGCACACCCTTTGGAAAACATAACTGAATCAGTCGCTTCCTATAACCATCAATAAGCTTCTGACACACTCTCACCCGGAATTTTTGGACCACTCTTCCTTTGCAAACAGCTCCAGGTCTCTCTTATTGGAAGGACACCTTTTCCCAACAGCAATTTTTAAGATCTCTCCACAGGTGTTCAATGGGATTTAGAGATCTGGGCTCATTGCTGGCCCACTTCAGAACTCTCCAGCGCTTCTTTGCCATCCATTTCTGAGTGCTTTTTGACGTATGTTTGGGGTCATTGTCCTGCTGGAAGACCCAGGATCTTGGACGCAAACCCAGCTTTCTGACACTGGGCCCTTACAGTGCGACCCAAAATCCTTTGGTAATCCTCAGATTTCATGATGCCTTGCACACAGTCAAGGCACCCAGTGCCAGAGGCAGCAAAACAACCCCAAAACATCATTGAACCTCCACCATATTTTACCGTAGGTACTGTGTTTTGTTCTTTGTAGGCCTCATTCCGTTTTCGGTAAACAGTAGATGATGTGCTTTACCGAAAAGCTCTATCTTGGTCTCATCTGTCCACAAGACGTTTTCCCAGAAGGCTTTTGGCTTACTCAAGTACATTTTGGCAAAACTGTAGTCTTGCTTTTTTATGTCTCTGTGTCAGCAGTGGGGTCCTCCTGGGTCTCCTGCCATAGCGTTTCATTTCATTTAAATGTCGACGGATAGTTTCGCGCTGACACTGATGCTCCCTGAGCCTGCAGGACAGCTTGAATGTCTTTGGAACATGTTTGGGGCTGCTTATCCACCATCCGGACTATTCTGCGTTGCAATCTTTCATCAATTTTCCTCAATCCGTCCACGACCAGGGAGATTAGCTACAGTGCCATGGGTTGCAAACTTCTTGATAATGTTGCGCACTGTGGACAAAGGCAAATCTAGTTCTCTGGAGATGGACTTGTAACCTTGAGATTGTTGATATTTTGCCACAATTTTGGTTCTCAGGTCCTCAGACAGTTCTCGTCTCCTCTTTCTGTTGTCCATGCTTAGTGTGGCACAGACAGACACACAATGCAAAGGTTAAGTTGAACGTCTCTCCTTTTTATCTGCTTTCAGGTGTGATTTCTATATTGCCCACACCTGTTACTTGCCCCAGGTGAGTTTACAGGAGCATCACATGCTTGTAACATTCTTATTTATCCGCAGTTGTGAAAGGGTGCCAATACTTTTGTCCAGCCCATTTTTGGAGGTTTGTGTGACATTATGTCGAATTTGCTTTCTTTCCTCCCTTTTTTTGTTTTGTCCCAATACACACAAAGGGAATAAACATGTGTATAGCAAAACATGTGTTAATGCAATACGTTTCGTGAGAAATACATGATTTCCTGGAGAAATATCAAGGGTGCCAACAATTTCGGCCATGACTGTAAATCCTGTATTATAATAATAATAATAATTAATGAGGTAGAATCATATTGACTGATAATACATAGTACATTCAGTTATTTGTAGTCTATTTAGAGTTCACATTATAGTAGATAAATTCACTTCATTTGGATCATGCAGACTTTTTCATAACAGCATTGGAATCTAATAGTTTTGGGTCAGAAAATGTATCCAAACTGTGTTTTAGTTTGAAACAAAGCAATTTTGTGACATATGAAATGAAATCACAGCACTGTAGAGTAAAATGCAACAATGTAGAGATTACATGTATACAAATGCCATGTTGTCAAGTACATTCATTTTTAATGGAGTGGGTTTTTTTTTATATTTTATGCAAATCTCAAAGGTCATTACAATAAAGAAATTTATTCACTTCTCTGCTTTGTCCCTGAACACAAATGCACACCTAATCATTCCAAATAGCTACATCAAGATGGACATAAAATACATTAGCTCACTTTATATTTTCAGGGACCTTCCTGGTCTGCAGTACACAATGTTGATAAGTGCAGACTACAGACAGGGTGAATGTAAACAAAGCAGTCTTTACAACAGCTGGGCCTTTAACAACTTTTGGAGCACAGGGAAAGGAAAAAAGAGAGGGAGAAAATTTGAAAAGTAGCTTTGTGTCTCTGGATATTTTCACATTGCTAGTATATTTTAAAACTAAATATTACTTTGTAATACCAATATGGAACACTTTACATTATTGAATTAGTAAACTGGTGCAGGTCTGAGTGCCTTTTTAAGATAATAAAATGCCTTTTTCTGGTAGAACGGGGAAGCAATATTGGGACTGCAGAGGTCACGAGCAAGGCAAGCCATAAAAAGATGCGATTTTCTTTCTTGAACCATGGGTTGCAGGAAAGAAAATCTCTTGATTCCCCCATTAACATAGTAAGTGTTGATGGGGGTATCCCTCTTGCAGCACTACTGTATTCTGTTGGCAGGGAGCCTTCTTTGCTGGTAGAACACAATTATCACTGCTGGTGGATATAGCCACTGGCAGTAGTCACATGCAAGAAATCCGACAGGCTGGTTGTACTGAAGCCAATCAATGGATCGTATGCAGTACAATCAGCCATAGATAAATTGAATCTCAACCAGTCTCTGCTGAACCGGCTGAGATTTCATTCATCTTAGAGAAAACAGAAGGTCTGATTGATAGGCTGTGATAGCATTTAAGACATGCTTAAGTGACCTTTCAAGCAATGTTATCACATGTGATTTATCTTGAAAGACCACTTAAGCAAGCTTTAAGTGCAATTGTAGCTTGATCAAACATGGCCATGGAGCCTATTTAGTGATCCTCTGTTGCCACCTTCTTGCCCTTTCTTTGGTCATTTGTCTGGATGCACATTGCTATGAGCTTCTCTTTTATGCAATAAACATTTTATTAAAGAATGTCATGTAAGAAAATAAATTCAGCATCCTGTTCCATTTCTAAGGCAATACGGATGTGGGAAAAAGCAGTATTACTCATCCAGAAAAGAGAGAAAATGTTAGCTGAGCTGGAGATGTTTGAGAGAGAGGCCTCTGATCCCAATAGATTCTTTCACAAAGGTAAGTTCATGATAATGTGAAATAAAGCATGCAACAAACTGTAATTACCCCAGATGTTCTTGCTGTATCTGTTCTCTGGGTAGTAATGCAAATAATTCTTGTATTGTAAGAAATAATGCCTGGTACACACCATCAGTTTTTTTTTTCAACTCAGACTGAACAAAAGAAAACTGAAGAGCTCGGGAGGAGCTCGCTGTACTAACTGTCCAATGTTAGTACAGCAATCCCCCCGTTGAGCGATTGTGTTCTGACAGGGGAACTGCAACCCCTCCAGAACACTCCGGTCAGCACTCGCAGCCATTGGCTGCCAGCACTGATCGGATGATGGTTTTTCAACTAGCCTGACCAGTTTTTGCCAGACAGGTTGGTATACACATGGGCCAAAAGTTTAGTCAGTTTCTGTTGAACCGGCCAACACCAGCAGACATTCGGCCCGTGTGTACATTGTGGAAGTGCAGAAATGAGCCATAACAAGTTCAGTATTGACTTCAAAGATAATCAAGCACCCAGAAGAAAATGTACCAAGTAAAAAAAGTGAACTGTTATGACTATCTGGAAACCATTACCAGTGTGTGAGGTTAGAAAATCTGCTCATATAGCCTACTTGTGAGCCTAAATCCATACCTACTTGTACATTTAGTCGGCATTTTGTGCTAGGTAAGACAGCAGCCTCTCGTCACATAGGTCAGTCTACATTACTAGCCATCTCCTAATTTGAGCTAGGATAAGGCTACAGTTGGCTCAAAGAGAGGGAGGAACTGGAACCAGCTCTGTATTAACATAATAACCCATTGCTTGGAATGTAGGTTAAATAGTTTTAATAGGCCTCAATCAACAGAAAAAACAGCCCCCCCCATGAATTTAGTATAAGTTGGTCATATGTTCTGTTTTCATTCCTTTATACCAGATCATTGAGTTAAACCATGTGGATAAAGTCAAGCTATACACGTTATAGCTGGGCCCTAGGTCTTTTTAATTTTGCTTAAAGGCTAAAAGGATCAATTTTGCCTAAGAATCACATTTTGGGCAGAATTACTCCCATACCATAGGTTCACACTTATGTGGATTTGTGCGTTTTGAGCTGCTGTGTATTTTTGAAAGGGTCAGGGACTTTTTTTTCCCCATAATAGATTTTAATGGAACTGCACCAAAAATGTAAGTATTGCTTTTTTGCTGCATTTTTTATGCATTTTGTGGCATTAAGCTGGTTGTTAAGGTGTGGGCAGCCGCTGGCATCCTCAACAACCAGTAAACAACATGGTTGTTGAGGAGCGGGTGGCTGCCAGCAGGGTTCCCCACTGACAGGTGAATATAAACAAACCTATTCCCTTTGGGTCTGGTATGGATTTTAAGGGAAACCCCACACCAAAATTTTGAAAAAAATTGTGTGGGGGACCACAAAATTCATACCAGACCTTTATCTGAGCATGAAGCCCAGCAGGTCAGGAAAGGGGGGGGGGTGAGTGAGCCCCCCCCCTCCTGAACCATACCAGGCCACATGCCCTCAACATGGTGCCACTACTTATTCACCAAAAAAAAGTGTAAAAAGTGAATATAAACACAACCATAGATTTTGACAAGTCCTTTATTGAAAAAGTGAAAAAAAAAAATTGTCCTCCGAAGTAGATCCAACATCAATCACGATAAACCTTAATCATTCACATGGGGGAGGTGGGATCTGGGGGCCCCCCTTGTTAAAGGGGGCTTCCAGATTCCAATAAGTTACCTCCTTGTAGATCCCCATAACCACAGCCCAGGGTTGTGGGAAAGAGGCCCTTGTTCTCATCAACATGGGGATAAGGTGCTTTGGGGGGAGTCCCCCCTGCCCCAAAGTGCCCCCCCATGTTGAGGGCACGTGGCCTCGTATGGTTCATGAGGGGGGCGCTATAGCTCATCTCCCCCCTTTTTCCTGACCTGCCATTATGTATGCTCAGATAAGAGTCTAGAATGTTTTTTTTCGGGGATCCCACAACGTTTTATAATTTATTTTATTTTTGGAGTGGTGTTCCCCTTAAAATCCATACCAGACCCGAAGGGCAAAAGTGCCTTTACGCTCGCCTTGTAATATAAACCTGACTATACATGGATTGAAAATTGAACTAAAAAGTGAGTCAGTAGACCGCTCGTATGTTTTTCGTATGGTTATTGTGTTTACTGTAACTGTTGATTTCTGCTTCAAGATCGAAACAGAACAAATTAACATGTTGGAAATTTTTTTCGAATGAGGAAGTGAAATGCGCATTAGCAGCAGTAATAGGGGTACTAGTGGAAATCGATCAGAAAAAAATGTTGAAAATGAAATGCGCTGGAAAATTTCCAATACAATGATTGGGCCTTCAAATGTTATATTGAAAGATCGTTTAATTTTTTTTTTTTTCAAATTTTCATTCTTTATTCTATGTACAGTATAGCCAGCTTAAATGTTAGCAAAATGAAGCGATAATTAAATACAATTCATTGCACACTAGGTGAATATTTCTTATTGTGATACATGGTGTCATCTGCTCCACATTACCTCCTTTAAACAGCATGGTAGGATTTAAAGCTATGCATATCAGAACCATAGACTAACTTCTGATCTGGAAGAGATAACAAATGAAATACATTTTTGACTTTACGTTTTTCTCAGAAAGTGGGTAAGGGCAAGTCTTAGGACATAATCCTTGACAAACCTTCCCGCCAACATTGTGCATGGGGATAGCACATTGGGTACATTGAGGGCTGTTGTTAGAAACCATGGGGCCCCATACAGCCAACCTGACAGGTCCCCCTTAAAAAAAAACAACAAAAAAAAACATAGTTTACTATGCTTCAGTTAGGAATAAACACAGTGAGTGATCCATACTGATCGCTCATTGTGTGTCATTCAAGAAATGAAGGGGCTGGTTAATGTGACATATTTATCAGACCCTTCCTCTATTCTCCATCCTGAAGGATCCTATTGTGTGCTTGCAGTTGCCGGTGGAAAGGAGAGGAGGGAAGCCTGCAATGTGGGGGCCCAGGCAGCTGGGTGAATCAAATGTGCACAGTGAGGGTGATTGATATGGTGGGTGTGGGGGCAATTACTGGAATTGATCTCCTGCATGGCTCTCTGCAGCAGCTCTGAAAACTAGTGGGTTGGATAACAGAAGAATCCAGTTTTCATATGCTGCAGAGAGAGACATACAGGGCATCGGTTCCAGTAATTGCCCCCCCACCGTGCCGATCATCCTCCCTGCCCACATTCGATTTACCCAGCTGCCTGACCCGCCCCCCCTTCTGGCCTGGGCTCCATACAAGAAGACTTGTGGTAACCCCTTATCCGCAGCCCTGGATACATTAAAAGAAATCAGGGGCGGACTGACCATTTGGAAACTCGGGCACCGCCCGAGGGCCCGGGGTCAGTAGGGGGCCCCATGAGATGCCCCTGGTACCTTTCATAGGCTTTTTTGGGTGTGGTTTGAGTGTGGGCGAGGACACAGGGGCCCCATGATCCCTTTTGCCCGGGGGTCTCATGAGTTGTCAGTCCGCCCCTGAAAGAAATAGTAAAACACTCTAAATTTAATGGTGTTGATATGATCAGGCAACTAGAAAGAGTGTATTACAAATTACTTGCACCCTTTCCATAAATTAGCCTGGGACATGTATGGCCTGTATACTTTATAGTAGAGACAGGATAGGTAAAACCTATATTGAGTAAACAATCTAGGAAGCTGCTGCATTTGTGATCATGCCTATTAATTTAAAATGTACACTTTTTTAATATGAACCTGGAATTAGGTTTAAGTTGCCAAGACAGTTCTACAGAGAACTGGAAATAAAGTTGGCCTTCAAATAACCAACCAATAAACACCCTTTTTTTTTTCTTCTAAATTTAGGTTACAATGGTACATCAGTTGCACGTATGGAAGAGTCTAAGCAAAGAAAAAAGCTATACAAACAAATGTCAGACACTGAGCGTGCTATAGCTAAAATATTACAATTTATAAATAGGACATTTAATGACATAGTCAGTTACAAGGTAAGTGGATATTACATTTCCTATACTTTACTCCCCTTGGTGCAGACCTAACTTCTTGATGTATATGTAAACCCTTACCTTGTAAAACAACCCATTCAGTTTAAAATATAAATTAAAGACAAAACATTTGTGTATATGTTGTATAAAAAAAGAACATTATACATGCTGTACCTTTTTTATTTTTATTTTTTTTATAAGTGATTACACAATCTCTGTTATTAGTTGCATAAGGAACTTAGAGAGGTAGGGGTGGAGAAACAGCAGTACACCAATCTTCCAAGTGAATGGCTGTGCAGAGGGGCGTGGCAGCACAAGTCTGATCATTGGAGGACAAGCAAACTGTTCTCCCAGAACAGCCAGAAACCTGACCACACTGAGATAGATGTGCTCTCATGCCTAGTGTGGTCATTTTGAAATGAGACAGCAAGGAGACTGGCAGGATAACCAGGTATTTCACACAAAGGAATCAATACAAAGACACTAGGATACTTTTTAACAAAAGTACATGGTACAACAGGCACATGTTAGGAGTATAAAATTAAGAGAAGGGGGTTCGACTCCCGAAACGTTTTAGCACTTTATCAAGGACGCATGCTGTCCTTGATTGGCACCTTTGACTTCTTGTCTCTGTTTTTATGACCTTTATGGCTTGTGAGTATGTTTTTGCATCTTTTTAATACATTTATGGTTTTTGCGTTAATGCACCTGTTTTGTTTTTTTCTGTAAGAAAACAAAGTGTACAGACCCTAGTGCGATTAACCTTTTTATTATAGAACACAATTAAAAGCATAATCCAATGCCCTTGCACACAAAAATACATCTTGTGCAAGGCCGTTGTTACCAGTAAAAAACTTGCAGTAATATGAACTATGGCATTCTGACACTGTTGATATTAAAGTCTGCAGATGATTTTTAAACTTTTTTGTGCAACATGTGCATATATACTATATTGCCAAAAGTATTGGGACGCCTGCCTTTACACACATATGAACTGGCATCCCGGTCTTTGTCTGTAGGGTTCAATATTGAGTTGGCCCATCCTTTGCAGCTATAACAGCTTCAACTCTTCTGGGAAGGCTGTCCACAAGGTTTAGGAGTGTGTCTATGGGAATGTTTGACTTTTCTTCCAAAAGCGCATTTGTGAGGTCAGGAACTGATGTTGGACGAGAAGGCCTGGCTCGCAGTCTCCATTTTAATCCAGTCCAAAGGTGTTCTATCGGGTTGAGGTCAGAACTCTGTGCAGGCCAGCTAAGTTTCTCCACCCCAAACTCACTCATCCATGTCTTTATGGACCTTGCTTTGTGCACTGGTGCGCAGTCATGTTGGAACGAGAAGGGGCCATCCCCAAACTGTTCCCACAAAGTTGGGAGCATGAAATTGTCCAAAATGTTTTGGTATGCTGACACCTTAAGAGTTCCCTTCACTGGAACTAAGGGGCCAAGCCCAACCCCTGAAAAAACAACCCCACACCATAATCCCCCCTCCACTAAACTTTACACTTGCAACAATTCAGTCATGCCCATACCGATCTTCTGGCAACTGCCAAATCCAGACACGTCCATCAGATTGCCAGGCAGAGAAGCATGATTGGTCACTCCAGAGAACACACGTCTCCACTGCCCTAGAGTCCAGTGGTGGCAAGCTTTACACCACTGCATCCAATGCTTTGCATTGCACTTGGTAATGTAAGGCCATGGAAACCTATTCCATGAAGCTCTCTACACACTGTTGCTGTGCTAATCTGAAGGCCATACAAAGTTTGGAGGTCTTTAGCTATTGATTCTGCAGACAGTTGGTGACTTCTACGTACTGTGCGCTTTAGCATGTGCTGATCCCGTTCTGTCATTTTACATGGCCTACCACTTGGTGGCTGAGTTGCTGTTGTTCTTAGTTGCTTCCACTTGTTATAATACCACTAACAGTTGGCCGCCGAGTGTTTAGTAGCAAGGAAATTTTACAGATGGACTTATTGCACAGGTGGCAACCCATCACGGTACCACGCTTGAATTCACTGAGCTCTTGAGAGTGACCCATTATTTCACAAATGTTGGTAGAAGTAGTCAGCATGCCTAGGTGCTTTATTTTGTACACCTGTGGATATGGAGGTGAGTTGCAACAATGAGTTGCAGCAGGATCTTCATGTATGTACTGTATGGACAAACAAGCTGTCCCTCTAGTATAAGAAAAATACAGTAACCCATCATAGGAAACCAAACGCTATGATGAAAATAGATTTGTGGTAGGACATGTGGGTGGCCTATGCAGGTCTGTATATCAGTTTGGTAGATGGCAATGCAGGTCTGTACATCAGTTTGCGTTTTGATGTGTAGCCTTGTGCAGGTGAACAGAGGTCCATAGACAGCTGCTGACTGCCCTCAAAATCCACATAGAAGTGCAATCTTCATGCCCAGATAAGAACACCCTTAAATTCACCAGCCCTAATTACAAATACCAGAGTTAACTGCTAACAATCAATATTTTATCAATTGCAGGGCAGACCGTATGCTGAAAAAATGAAGTGGGACAAAACAGAGATGCTTTACTGGCTGCAGCAAGATCGTCGCAAATCTTTAATGGAAATGGATACTAAAAAAGAAAATATGTTTGTACAGCTCGATCCTCTAAATTAAGTTAATTCAGAATTTTGTAATCATAAACATTTAATTTGCAATTTTATTTCCAAATAAAGAGAATTATATTCAGAACACAACATAACTAATGTGATTTCTCAATACACACAGTTTACTATGGGTCATGCTTGTCACCTCTTGGAACCCTATCTCTGTTTCACAGATGGAATTCAAAACAGTTCAGGCAGGTGAAGTCATCAGAAAAATCATGAACAGAAGTATTTCAATGCCTGTTTACATGTTGCATGAAACCATTATGATTCCCAAACACATATCACAAGTAATAATAATGCAAAATTTACTTGTTGAAAATTGTTTTCTCAGCTTATTTTTTGGGTGTTATAAAATTACACTTTTAAATATTCCCAGACAGTTTACGGATATTAAGGGAATTTACAATGCTCTATTTCCCCACAAATAAAAGACATGAATGTTTTAAAGATGATTTTTATTGAATTTTACATAAAGTATTCAATAATAAATAGTTCATATACAACAATCAAAATCCCTCCAGTCATTCATTGGTACATCATTATTTCACAGCAAGGAGCAGTAATACAAAATACTCATGGCTTGTACAGCATGTAGTACTTCAAGGCACAAAAGGAGTTATTTATGAAAAGTCTTCAACCCTGATAGTCAAGGTAGGAACAATATGGGTTGAGTGAAGCCAGGGGCCTCATATTTTTTCAAAATGAAAAGGTTTATTTAAAAAATATGCGTATTAATGTATGAAAATACAAGTACAAATAAAATATATAATAGTACAAGTCTCATTTTTCCTATTGGTTTCATTCTCATCTATGCATTGCAAGTATGTTTTTAAAGGGAAGCTATAAGGGTCCATTTGCATCTACACATGTGGGTTACCACTTGCATTTTAAAGCACACATAGGTGGGAATGTGCTCTTAAACATCAATCTGCTAGTATATGGTCAAAAAAACTTCTATCAGAGGTTAAAGTGGAACTTTACCAATAACAGCTTGATAAAAAATAGTATTTTATAGCAAGGAACATACATTCCAAATTAATATTAACCACTTCCAGTCCTGCCCATGTATATAAACGGCTGGAAGGGAGCAGTGCAGGAGTGGGTGGCCATTTATAAACGGCCTCCCCACCCCCTGCTTGTGCGCGCTCCCTGGGAGCGCGGAGCCCCGCGATCCAGCGCCCTCTGTGTCCTCCGGACACAGTGGAACACCGATCATTGTACGGGACCTCTGTGTGAGGCCCCGATCATGTGATCACTGATTGCTCAATCGGTGATCACAGGAAGAGTAGTAAGCAAGATGTCACTTCTGACATCATTGCTTACTACATGTGAAATCTGTGAATGATCGCAGAGGTCACATGGTACAAGGCTATTCACAACAGCCTTGTACCATGTGACAAGCTGTGACCAATCACAGCTTGCACAGTATTTCTCAATGGCTGCAAGAATGTAAAAGCAATCAGTGTAAAAAAAAAAAAAAAAAAAAAAAATCTTCATAACCCCCACAAGCAGTACAGTTTGTAATAAAAAACAAAAAAAAAACATAAATAATATAAAAAAAAATAAAATAAAAATTTAAAAACATTTTGAAAAATTATAAGTTTTGGTTATAAACTAATTTGGGTTATTTTATTTATTTTTTTACTAAAAAGATAACTGAATACATTTTGGCCAAGATTTATAAAGAAAGATTATTTATTTGCAAACTTCTATAAGCAAAAACTTTTTTCAAAATTTTTGGACTTCATTTATATAGCAAAAAAAATAAAAATCCCAGTGGTGAATAAATACCACCAAAATAAAGTTTTATCTGTCTCAAAAAAATGCTAAAAATTCATATGGGTACAGTGTTGCATGACTGCGCGATTGTCATTCAAAGTGTGATAGTGCTGAAAGCTGAAAATTGGCCTGGACAGGAAGGGGGTGAAAGTGTCTGGACTTTAAGTAGTTAATGCAACAAAAAATTAGTTTGTGCTGTAAATTGCCTCCAGCATTGCTCCTGTTTCTTCTTGCTGGAAGCTGCCATTTTGCTGAAGCCCAGAGCCCCTGAGCAGCAGTAAATCTTTGGGCTGTCAGCAGATCAGTCTTTACATTTTCAGGACAATGGGGGTTATTTAATAAAGCTGGACAGTGCAAAATCTGGAAAATCTAGAAACCAATCAGCTTCCGGGTTTTATTCTCAAAGCTGAGGTCAGAAGCTGATTGGCTGCCATGTACAGCAGCACCAGATTCTGAGTGTTCCAGTTTTAGTAAATCAACCCCAATGCCGTAAAATAGAGAGCCACAAAGCATGTGTAGAGCAGGGTGAGCCGGTGTATTACTATATTTTGAACAGTATAGACACATATTTTTAATGTTTTACATATCTACAGTATACTTGCAAAAGGAGCCAGCATGAAGTGACCTAGCAGGACTTAATTCTCTGAGTAAAGTTCCACTTTAACTACATCTTGGCATCCCATGATAAATCCACATTATGCAATGAGACATTCAAATTAGGTAAATAATGAGAATAACCAGAGTTAGACTTACCGGTAACTCCTTTTCTACGAGTCTTCCAGGACAGCCATCTGAGACCTAGGGCTCCTCCCTCCGGATCAGGAAACACACCATCCCCCATGCCTTTAAAAGGCGGGCCTCCGGGCCTCACATCCAGTTATTAAAATAGAACTAGCGGAAGCCACTGAAAGACACAAATATAGGTAAATACATTTTTCATGCAGTCAACCTTAACTCTCTCGGTTGTACATTAGAAGGGTGGGAATTACCGGCTATCCTGGAAGACTCGTAGAAAAGGAGTTACCGGTAAGTCTAACTCTGGTTTTCTCCCTATGTCTTCCAGGACAGCCATCTGAGACGATAAACGAGAACTTACCCCCTTAGGGTGGGTCCACCGCCTGGAGGACCTTGCGTCCGAATGCCTGTTCCTTATCTGATTGGATATCCAAGCGATAATGCTTCACGAAGGTAGAAAACCTCGACCAAGTGGCTGCCTTACAGATTTCCTCCGGCGAAGCCCCGGCTCTCTCCACCCAGGACGCTGCCAAGGATCTAGTTGAGTGGGCCTTAACAAAAGGAGGCGGAATCCTCAAGACCTTGTAAGATTCCCCAATTGCCAGCCTAATCCACCTGCCTATCGTGGCTTTAGATGCTGCCAACCCCTTTCTCTGCCCTGAAAACAAAACAAAAAGGGAATCCGACTTCCTAAATTCCCTGGACCTGTCTAAATAAATTATAAGACTCCTCTTTACATCCAGCAAACCTAGCCTTTCTTCTTGGTTACAATGAGTGGATCCAATGGCCTCCAATCCAGACCCCTGGTCAAGTTTCTCTCCTTTCGCCACCACCAAAGAGATCTCTTGACTCTGGACGGAAGCCGGACCTGCCGCTCCAGCTCTGAGACATTTCCGTCCCATTCCTTTAACAAGAAGGCCTGGAGCGGTCTCTGGTGAAATCTCGCCCATGGAACCGCCGGAAAGCAGGATGTCATAAGACCCACTGCCTCTGCGACTTCCCTCACCGAAACAAGCAGGTTGCACTGCAACCCTAACAACACCCGATTCATCTTCTCGAACTTTTCCCGTGGCAGAAAAATTTTTTCCTCTACAGAAGAGATCTCGTACCCTAGGTAAACCACCCTCTGTGCAGGTACAAGAGACGACTTTTCCCTGTTGATGAGCCAGCCCAGACCCTGCAGGAGATTCTGGGCTACTCCCAGGTGCTCGAGCAACTGTTGCTGAGACCCGGCCACCAAAAGCAAGTCGTCCAGGTAAGGAACCACCAAGATTGATCTCAGCCTCAGGGGAACCAAAGCTTCTGCTAAAACCTTTGTAAAGATCCTGGGAGCTGATGCTAGACCGAAGGGCAAGGCCCGAAACTGCCAATGGAAAGTCTGCGACCCCATCCTTATGGCCAACCTCAGGAACTTCTGACTTGTCTGGTGGATGGGAATGTGAAAGTAAGCATCTCTCAAGTCCACTGTGGCCATGAAGCACCCCCGGAACAGGATATTCTTTACCGAATAAGTCGATTGCATTCTGAAGCGTTTGTATGTTAGGGCCTGATTTAGGGAGCGTAGATTCAGGATTAACCTGAATTTTCCTGAAGGCTTTCCCACCACAAAGACGTGTGAGTAACACCCTGAACCCCGCTTGTTCTGAGGCACCTGAACCAGAACCCTCTGGTCCACCAATTCCCCTATAAGACCGCATAACTCCTGAGACTTCCTGCGGTCCTTGGGAAGATCTGTAACCAAGAACCTGCTTGGAGGGCAGTCCTCGAACTCTATCCTGTAGCCTCCCTGAATCAGGCTCCAAATGAAGGGGCTCGGGGATATAGAAGCCCACTGAGGGAGAAAGGACCCCAACCTTCCCCCTACCGGGCCATCCAAGTCATTGGGGCTTGGAGGATCCCTGAGGATTAAATAATATCCCTCCCCGGCCTCTGTTTTTATGCCCTGTCCAATGCTTCTTTGGCTGAGCTTCTCTATTCGGAAGCACTTGGGTTCTAGGCCGAAAGGTTTTCCTAGGAAAGACCTTTTTTCTACTCTCTGGGAAGGCCTTTTTCCTATCTGCCGTGCGCTCAAGAGCCTCCTCCAGGCCTGGGCCAAAAAGGTTATCCCCCAAAAATGGCAATGCGCATAAACGCAACTTGGACGCTGAATCCCCCGCCCAGGTTTTTAACCACAAAGCTCGCCTAGCGGAGTTAACCAGGGCTGAGGACCTGGCCGCAAGCTTGACTGATTCTGCCGAGGCATCCGCCAAAAACCCCGCTGCTTTCAGAAGCAACGGTAGTGACTTTAGGATCTGCTGCCTCGAGGTTCCTGCCGCTAGGTGATTTTGTAGTTGGGCTAACCAGCACTCCAAATTTCTGGCCACGCAAGTCGCCGACAGGGCTGGCTTCAAACTGACCGAAGAGGATTCCCAGGCTCTTCGCAACAAAACTTCCCCCCTTTTGTCCATAGGGTCCTTTAAGGCCCCCATGTCCTCAAAGGCCAGATCCGTCCTTTTTGAAATCCTGGACAAAGGGGCGTCCAACTTTGGAACCTTATTCCAGGGTTGCGAGGAATCCTCATCAAAGGGGAATCTCTTTAGGGCACCGGAAAAGAAGGGCCTCCTCTCCGGGCTTTCCCACTCCTGTCTGATAGTCTCAACCAAGGAACTATGGACCGGAAAAACTCTGGCTTTTTTTAGCATGAAGCCCCTGATACATGAGATCATGCTTCGACAAGGTCACTTCTTCCTCCTCTATCTCCAGAGTCTCATAAATTGCTTTCAAAAGCTCATCCACCTCTTCTAGGGCCAATCTATACTTAGAGCCTGAAGAGGTGGGGGCTTCCTCATCCTCGGACCCTTAACCTAACTGGGAGGATGTCCGAGATCGAGGAACATCTTCCTCTGTCTCCCCTTCCGGAACTACCTGCCGGGAGGGTACGATCCCCAATGCAGACTGCGAACCAATCTCCAAAGGAGACTGAACCCTATCAAGAAGGGACCGAAACGCCTGAAAAGTTGCTGATATATCCTCTTTAATAGAGGATAAAACTTTATGGCATGTTGTAAAAGATTAACAAGACTATCAATGCAGTTGCGGCATAAAGGCTTCTCATATCCTGCGCCTAACTTGGCCGCACACACTGCACATCTCCTCTTTGGGGCCTGTACCGGGGTCCTGTCCTGCGTTTTAGTCTAAAAAAGAATGACAAAAAACAAAACTAGGCACCTGAGGGGAACAACATCCCAGGACCCCCACTGCACCCGGGATGGGGAGAAAAACTGCAGCGTGCCCTAACACCCACAACCTTGGGGACTTAAGGGACCTCCTAAAACCCCCCCCCAGGGATATAGCATAAAGGGGAGCCTCCCCAAGCTTACCTGGGAGGAGCCGGTACCGGGACCGGGGTCAGCCTGCGAAGGACCAGCTTCCATTGTCCCCCTGGCGTGGAGACAGCGCCGCCGCTCCGCACGCCCACCGGCTTTTAAATTCCCCTGGTGGTGCCTGCGCCTCTGGAGATCGGAGCCACGTCTCCGGCGCCTGGCGCTGACGTCACTGGCGGACTTCCGGCCTGTGGAGCGCATCCGCCCTGCTACTTCCGGTCCCTGAAACACAAGGCCGTGCCCAACCGGAAGTCCCGCCTCTCCCCTGCACATTCAACTGAATGCCGGGTCAGAGGAGGGGAACGATCGGGGCAAGCCCCAGTGACACAAGGCAGCGCCGGTTACCCACCTGGGCCTGAAGGACACCACCAGATGCCAGCCCCACCACGTGGAAGGCACCAGGGACGGAGGTACAGACCGCACAACACCCTTCCAGGCCAGCCTTCCTGAGGGTGCGAGGATCTCCCTGGCTTTTACGATGTGCATCCTTCCGGCTCAGGAAACACAACTGGATGTGAGGCCCGGAGGCCCGCCTTTTAAAGGCATGGGGGATGGTGTGTTTCCTGATCCGGAGGGAGGAGCCCTAGGTCTCAGATGGCTGTCCTGGAAGACGTAGGGAGAAAAGAAGATACTTTACCTTTAGTTAAAACTGCATAATCAGTAGTGGACAGCAGAGGGGGGAGGAGATTAGGAGGACAGAGAGGCTTTTTGAGGACTTTGGAGCTTCCCTATGGGCAGTCAGAGACCAGGTTAGTGAAGTATATAATGCTTGAGAATTCCTATAGGGTTCATAATTAATTTTTAAGACAATTATACGGGTCTGAGCAATAGAATAGTGGCAAAGGGTACCACTTTTGTCATAAAAGGATTCACTTAGGCCCTCTATATCACATAACATATTTACTTTTCTAAGCCAGTAGGGGTGTATAGTTGCTTCCGGAAATTCAGGATTGGCATTGATCAGGTGTATGAGTACAGATTTTTTATATGTGGATGGGTCCATGCCATTCAGATGTTGAAGGACGTAGGTAGGGCTGTTGGAAGGTTTATTGTAGGAGTGAAATAATAAAAACATACTCACAGACGAAGCATGTATCTAAAAAGCATAGAAAAATGACAATGGCCACAACGGCAGGCAAGGTGTTCTCACTGTCAGTGCGGTCAAATGGCTGACGTGTTTCGGGGACAAATCCCTTTCCTCAGAGCTGATGACCAACCTCTGATGCTGATGTATGATGAATGGAAAGTAAGAGCCTCGCTGTTGATGCCACCACCTCTTACTTTCCATTCATCATACATCAGCATCAGAGGTTGGTCATCAGCTCTGAGGAAAGGGATTCGTCCCCGAAACGCGTCAGCCATTTGACCGCACTGACAGTGAGAACACCCTGCCTGCCGTTGTGGCCATTGACATTTTTCTATGCTTTTTAGATACCTGCTTCGTCTGTGAGTATGTTTTTATTATTTCACTCCTACAATAAACCTTGGATAATGCACTAGGTGTGCGCGCCACCTGTTTTCTCTCTATCCAGTGGCTGATTTCCCCGTCTGAGGAGGGCTGCACCCCTGCAGCATTTCCTTTGGTTGTTGCTGTCCTGGTACCCTTGGCTTCCCTTTTGGCTGTGCATATCCTGAGGCGCTGGAGAGTACATACGATATCCGGTAGGGCTGTTGGAAGGTTGTATTTCAGTTTAGTAATGATAGGGAAGAGAGATTGCCAAAAGGGCCCAATGTTTGGGTGGGTCCAGAATAGATGGAGTATTGTACCTTCAAATATGGATCATGTCCAGCATGATTAACTAGTATCTGGCAAACTTTTCTGGATTTTCGCTGGGTTATAATACCAAATAGATAAAAGCTTATATCTGGATTCTTGAAGTCTAGTGGAGATCGATTGTGAATCTCCCGAATAGAGGTTTTGAATTGAAAAAGTGTGTGATCTGGAAATAGCTCCAAGAATCAAGTTGCTAGCATCCAGAAGATTTGTGAATGTCATGAACAGAAATGAAACCCCATCCTATTGCTATATCGTCATGGGTGGTCTCATTGCTCAGTAGGGTGCTGGGAAAGGAACATCCAGGTTTCTTAACCTCTTTTTGATATTTTTTTTTTACCATTCCCAGGTTTGTAAATGAATTACTTGAATAAAATAATTATGTTTTATTGTTCTGACTGCTTACAATTGATGAAAGTTCAGATGTGACAATGTGGTATGAACTGTACTTCTTTATCACTGCTCTTTGTACTGTCGTCTTATGATATAAGGCAATACCGGAGTTAGGGCACACACTTACATGTAGGGCCTATTTTATCTCTTGGGTAATCTATCCTTAACTACAATTATGATTCACACATCCACAGGTTTTTCCTTCTTACTTGACACAAATCATGTACAACTGTTCATATCCAATAGAAATGCCATTAGGGCTCAGAACAATATATATTGGAAAGCAGCTTCTTTTGTCCAAGATATTGTCAACTTGAATGAATAGTTATATTTTTAGGTACAGTCATTCATACTTTTCATTTTCCCTATTCTTTTGAAAGTATGGACATTTATAAGCCCCTCAAGGACTAAACCAATTAAGCAGTGGAAATTTAACAGGTAAAATGTTAGGAATGACATCTTAAATAGCTTAAAATAGTATCTATATATTTTTCTAGTTTAGTTCCCATGGTAACATAGTGCCTTGCAGGGATTAAGCCATATTTACTGTTAGCTCTTCTGAAAACAGTTCAGGAGGTTGCATTCAACCTGTCAGCTGGTGTTTGTCAAAGACCCTAGGGGTTTAACTCCATCATAAACAAATGTTAATGGATAAAATCTACATTAATTGCTGCTGAGTGAAATTCTTTGGGGAATGGTAACATTCGGAAGAGATATTGTACATGCTGCTATCTTACCCAGTTTATCGACCCAGATAAAATACAGTATATGTACTCTGAAAAAAGTATTAGTGTTTGACACATACAACTGTTTATTGGTCACTCAATAGGTGTATGTTTTGTTTGCTACCCAACATTGTTAGGCTGGTTTAACATTAAACTGAGCTTTTTGAAAAAGAGTTAAGAGCCAAGGTGCCCGAGTCGCATTCACTATGTGTTTAACATACATTTTTCTGCACATTCACACAGACAAAAGAAATTTAGAAAAAATCTTCTAAGGACAAGAGGCCAGGCAGTTTCCCTCTCTATGCTTTTCTTTTCTTCTCACAAATAGGTTGAGTAAAGGGAAGGTACAAATTAATGTCTTTTCAGTTTTCTTTTTTTTTACGTGGGGTCCCTCCTAAAATCTATACCAGACCCTAAACAAGGATAATAGTCTGGTAAGTATTTTTAGGGGAATCCCCATTCCATTTTTTTTCCTTTTATGTGTCTACCCCCTTAATATCTATACCAGACCCTTATCCACGATAGTCCGATATCTCTGGAAGATTTTAACCCCTTCGTGACCAGGCACTGCACTACTATAAGTGGCAACTGTGCGATCATACAATACTGTACCCAAACAAAATTTATATAATATTTATTCACACAAATAGAGCTTTCCTTTAGTGCTAATTGAAAATCACTGGGTTTTTTATTTTTTGCAATATAAATGAAAAAAGACCAAAAAAAAAGTTTTTTCTAATTTCTGCTATAAAACATATAAAATCCAATTTAACCACAAGCCTACAGGTCATTTTTACCCCCTTCCTGCCCAGGCCAATTTCCAGCTTTCAGCGCTGTCACACTTTGAATTACAATTGCGCGGTCATGCAACACTGTACCCACATGAAATTTTTATCATTTGTTTTGCGACAGAGCTTTATTTTGGTGTTATTTAATCAACTCTAGGTTTTTTTTTTTTTTCTTAAACAAACCAAAAACCACTGAAAATTTTGAAAAAAAAAAAAAATGGTTTTTCTTAGTTTTTGTTATAAAATTTTGTAAATAAGTGATTTTTCTCCCTTCACTGATGTGCGCTAATGAGGCTGCAGGGATGGGCACTGATAGGCTGCACTGATGGACACTGATAGGTGGCACTCATGGGCACTGATGTGGAGGAACTGGTAGGTGGCACTGATGGGCATTGACAGGCATCACTGATGGACAGTGAAAGGCAGCACTGATATATGGCACTGATAGGCGGCACTGACTGGCACTGTTAGGCGGCACTGATTGGCAGCACTGATTGGCATTGATAGGTGGCACTGACTGGCACTGATGGGTGACACTGATATGTGGCATTGATGTGCACTGGTAGGCACTGATATGTGGCACTGACACCGATGGACACTGACAGGTGGCACTGCTGGGGCTACACTGATCATTAGGGCACACTGATCATCAGTGCTCTGATGATCAGTGTACATGTCCCCTCCACGGAATGCCGATTACCGGCTCTCCTCTCCTCTCAAGCTGTTAGCGTGACAGCTCGTGGGGAGAGAAATGCCAATAACCGGCATTTCCCTGTTTACATGTAATCAGCTGTGATTGGACACAGCTGATCACATGACCGAGACGACATCTTCGGCTCTTTCCGTGGATCGGTGATCCGCTGTGTCCGAGGGACACAGTGCACCGCCGATCGCAGCACGCTCCGGGAGCTGCACGTGCACGGTTAGAATGGGAGGACGTCATATGACGTCCTCCCAGAACGAGAGAACCACCTTGCGTCTGTCATATTACTATATGGCGGGCAGGAGGTGGTTAAAAAAAAAATCTCTATAAATTTTGGCCAAAATGTATTCTGCTACATGTCTTTGGTAAAAAGGAATCCCAATAAGTGTATATTGATTGGTTTGCGTGAAAGGTATAGTGTCTACAAACTATGGTATATATACTGGAGTTTTTTTTATACTACTAATGGCAGTGATTAGTGACTTATAACGAGACTGCGATAGTGCGGCAGCTAATCTGACGCTGGACGGAACTGCCGCTGACATCACCAGTGACATTAATACAGTGATAATACTATACATTGTTACTGTACTGACACTGGCTTGGAAGGGGTTAACATCTAGGGTAATCAAGGGGTTAAATGGGTGCCTAACTATGTGTAATATGTATAAAATGTACTGCTTTTAGTAAGAGATTGTACATAGCCCTGTGTTGATTTTGTAATGTTTTTATTTAAATGTCACAGTACAGCCTACAGAGGTGCCACTTTACAGGAAGGGTTAGGACATACCCCAAACATGTTATTTAACCACTTGCCGTCCGCCTTCCCGCAATGTACTGCGGACAGGTGGCAGCTACAGGAAATGTGACATACCCATACGTCGCTCTGACTGTACTAACACGGGGGGGGTGCTGAACACAGGGGGTCCTGCGTGCCCCTCCTGCGACCACTGTGTCTACGGTGTAAGTGTACAATCCAAACGCATACGTTCCTGCGGTACAAATGGCTGTGTGTATAAGTGGGTGCTGCAGTGACCATCAGCTGGAACCGAACAAAATCAGCAAGGGAGAATGTCACCAGCACACCGAGGATCACCAGTATGGGTCCAAAAGTTTTAATGAATGATCACATAGTTACAGCAAGGCAACGTTTTGGAGTCTCGCAGGACCCCTTCATCAGGCATGTCACATGCCTGATGAAGGGGTCCTGCGAGACTCCGTAATGAGCGGAATGAAGATCCTAAACGGGACTCAGTGATCATGTGATTGCTATGCGATCACAATGTTAGCAAAGCTGTTATGAATCAATCTGATTGGCTCACAGCTCTCACATGATATATGGGGCCAATCACAGCACCCTGTACCATGTGACCAGCGCTAGCCAATCACAGATCAGATTTGCATTGCAATGAACCCCATTGCTCATGCAATGCAAAGTGTAAAATAAATAAATACAAATCCATGATCACCCCCCCAAAAGTAGTACAATGTTACTATGGTAACTTTGCACTACACTTTGCTAAAGGTATTGAAAAAAAAAATACTGCATTGAGAATAGTTTTTTTTTTATTTTAAGGGTTTTTTTTTAACCACTTGCCTGCCGCACTGTGCAGGCGAGCAGCGGCTCTGCTCAAAGCGACGTAACCCTGCGTCGCTTTCTATTTCAGATTGTGAACGCGCCTGTGCCCCCCCATCGGTCCAGGGAGGGAAGAGAGAACACCGCACTGTGAGTAAAAGCACTACATTTTACATGCACGTTAGATAGCACATTTAACCCTTTGATTGCCCCTATTAATCCTTTAATCACCCAGCCAGCGCCATTAGTACAGTGTCAGTACATAGACTTTTTCGCTGATCACTATATTGCTGCCACTATTGACAACAGATAACGACAGGGTCTGTAAGCTCCCCTCCCAGCTATAGGTCGCTGATCACCACCAATACTAGTATAGTATAGTATTTGTACGGATCAATATATTGATCACGAATAGAACTATACTAGTGCCTCCTTTGTAAAGTTTCCCCAAAAATGCAGTGTTAGCAGGATCAGCCCCATTCCCTGGCAGCACTAGTGTTTAGCCCCTCCACTGTTTTTCAGGGAAGATTTGTACCTATTGATTGTAGGCCAAAGCAATTTATCTGCACAACAATACAATGCTGCCAACCCAGATTCAGCTCTTCAGAAAATTTGCATGGAAACCTATCACAGTTTCTGAATTTAAAACTTTTTGGGTCTAACCCTCAACATGGGCTTAACAAAAAAAATGAATTGCGGTCATGTTGGTCCACAGACCCGATTCATCATATGCCCATGTTCTGTGCGGATACATACAGTGGGGATCGAACGTTTGGGCACCCCAGCTAAAAATTTGTATTAATGTGCATAAAGAAGCCAAGGAAAGATGGAAAAATCTCCAAAAGGCATCAAATTACAGATTAGACATTCTTATAATATGTCAACAAAAGTTAGATTTTATTTCCATCATTTACACTTTCAAAATAACAGAAAACAAAAAAAAAAATGGCGTCTGCAAAAGTTTGGGCACCCTGCAGAATTTATAGCATGCACTGCCCCCTTTGCAAAGCTGAGACCTGCCAATGTCATGGATTGTTCTCAGTCATCGTCTGGGAAGACCAGGTGATGTCAATCTCAAAGGTTTTAAATGCCCAGACTCATCTGACCTTGCCCCAACAATCAGCACCATGGGTTCTTCTAAGCAGTTGTCTAGAAAACTGAAACTGAAAATAGTTGACGCTCACAAAGCTGGAGAAGGCTATAAGAAGATAGCAAAGCGTTATCAGATGTCAATATCCTCTGTTCGGAATGTAATTAAGAACTGGCAGTCATCAGGAACAGAGGAAGTTAAAGCAAGATCTGGAAGACCAAGAAAAATATCAGACAGAACAGCTCACAGGATTGTGAGAAAAAACAATTCAAAACCCACGTTTGACTGCTTGATCCCTCCAGAAAGATCTGGCAGACACTGGAGTTGTGGTACACTATTCCACTATAAAGAGATACTTGTACAAATATGGTCTTCATGGAAGAGTCTTCAGAAGAAAAACCTCTTCTACGTCCTCACCACAAAAATCATCGTTTGAACTTTGCAAATGAACATATAGACAAGCCTGATGCATTTTGGAAACAAGTTCTGTGGACCGATGAGGTTAAAATTGAACTTTTTGGCCGGAATGAGCAAAGGTACGTTTGGAGAAGAAGGGGCACAGAATTTAATGAAAAGAACCTCTGTCCAACCGTTAAGCATGGGGTTGGATCAATCATGCTTTGGGGTTGTGTTGCAGCCAGTGGCACAGGGAACATCTCACAAATAGAAGGAAAAATGGATTCAATAAAATTTCAGCAAATTTTGGATGGTAACTTGATGCCATTTGTGAAAAAGCTGAAGTTAAAGAGAGGATGGCTTCTACAAATGGATAATGATCATAAACACACCTCGAAATCCACGGGGGATTACATCAAGAGGCGTAAACTGAAGGTTTTGCCATGGCCTTCACAATCTCCTGACCTCAACATAATTGAAAATCTATGGATAGACCTTAAAAGAGCAGTGCATGACAGACAGCCCAGAAATCTCAAAGAACTGGAAGACTTTTGTAAGGAAGAATGGGCAAAGATACCTCAAACAAGAATTGAAAGACTCTTGGCTGGCTACAAAAAGCATTTACAAGCTGTGATACTTGCCAAAGGGGGCAGAACAAGATATTAACTCTGCAGGGTGCCCAAACTTTTGCAGACGCCATTCTTTTGTTTTCTGTTATTTTAAAAGTGTAAATGATGGAAATAAAATCTAACTTTTGTTGACATATTATAAGAATGTCTAATCTGTAATTTGATGCCTTTTGGAGATTTTTCCATCTTTCCTTGGCTTCTTTATGCACATTAATACAAATTTTTAGCTGGGGTGCCCAAACTTTCGATCCCCACTGTATATGCCCAATATGGACCAGCAATGTACTGGAATGTCATTGCACTTTGAGTGGTTATACAGGCATCATCCTGGTATATTTTTTTTTCAGCTGGTGGTCGGCTTTCATGTAAAAGCAAATTAACTGCTGGATTGTTTTTACAAGTAGTGGAAAGGGACAACCCCCCCCCCCCTCCACTGATGCCTTCCACAGCTTTCCTGGGCTCCCGCCCCACAGCAGAATCCAAAAATGCAGCCGGCAGTTCCTCCAGCTGACCGTAGAGATGATCGGTGACCAGGATGGCTGCAATCATCTCTATGGTCTAAGAAACCAGAAGCTAAGAGCATTTAATCATTTTCATTTTGCCGGATATTAACAGTGCCATTTTTAAATTGGAAAAGCATCTGATCACACCGATCTTGGTGTGATCAGATGCTTTAACCACTTTCAGACCGGACACTTTTACCCCCTTCCTGACCAGGGCAATTTTCAGCTTTTAGCGCTATCACACTTTGAATGACAATTGTGCGGTCATGCAACACTGTACCCAAATGAATATTTTACCATTTTTTTTAGATAGATAAAAGCTTTATTTTGGTGGTATTTATTCACCACTGGGATTTGTATTTTTTTTGCTATGTAAATGAAATGTCCAAAAAAAGTGTTTTTTTTATAAAATTTTGCAAATAAATAATATTTCATCATAAATCTTAGCCAAAATTTATTCCGTTATCTTTTTAGTAAAAAAAAAAAAAAATCCAAATTAGTTTATAAGCAAAAATTATAATTTTTAACATTTTTTTTTTACATTTTTATTTTATTTTTTTTATATTATTATTTTTTATTTTATTTTATTTTTTTTTTTACATACTGTCACCCTAGCAGTACAGTGTCACCATGGTGACACTGTGCTACTTGTGAGGGATGATAAAATTTTTTTTTTTTTTTTTTTTTTTTACACTGATTGCTTTTACACCCATATAGGATGTAAAAGCAATCATTTCTCTTTCTCTCTGTGTGCATTCCTGCACTCATTGAGAAATACAGAGTGAGCTGTGATTGGTCACAGCTTGTCACATGGTACAAGGCTTTTGTGAATAGCCTTGTACCATGTGACCTCTGTGATCATTCACAGATTTCACACATAGTAAGCAATGATGTCACAAGTGACATCTTGCTTACTACTTTGCATGTGATCACTGATTGGCCAATCAGTGATCACATGATCGGGACCTCGTACAGAGGTCCCGTCCGACGATCGGTGTTTCACTGTGTCCGGAGGACACAGCGGGCACCGGATCGCGGTGCTGCGCGCTCCCAGGGAGCGCGCACAAGCAGGGTGCGGGAAGGCCGTTTATAGACGGCCACCCGACCCTGCAGTGCCACCGTCCGGCCGTTTATATACAACGGCCGGTCGGGAAGTGGTTAAGGACAGAGGAGATATCTAGAGTCTAATAGACCCCAGATTTCTCAGAAAAGAATACCTGTCATTACCTCTTGCTATAACAGGGGATAGTTACTTTACAGACACAGCCTTCATAATCTTGACCGTAGGGTTATATCGCCACCTTCAGGAGTAGGCAGAAAAACAAACAAGCACAGCACCGCCTATGGGCAGTCCTAACTAGTAGTAAACCCCCACTCTGTGATAGGCAGCTCAGTTCATTACAAAGCAATACAATAAAAAGGAGGGGAGGGTGCTGTGTCAGTCAATAAACTCAGAGGAAGGGATTTTACGGTAACAAAAAAAATCCAGTTTTCTCTTTCCTTCATTGACAGACACAGCCTTCATAATCTTGACCATAGGGACGTACCAAAGTAGTGCCATAACGAGGGGTGGGAGCTCAGTAAGAAGAAGAAAACACACAACCACCCAAAGGAACCCCCCCATATGAGGTCCCAGAAAACCTCAGACAGCAACCTGCAAAACCTTGTGGCCAAAACATGCATCCAAAGATGCCAGAGCATCAACTTTGTAAAACGCGCTAAAAGTGTGCACAGACGACCAGGTAGCTGCCTTACAAACTTGACACGAATGCCTGATGACGGAATGCCCAGGAAGCAGTAATCGCCCTGGTAAAGAGTGCCATGACGGTGAAGGGAGGCACCCCTTCCCTAATAGCATAAGCCTGGACAACTGTCTGCCTCATCCAACGAGAAATAGTGGCTGAAGAAGCCACCAGACCCTTTCGCAGACCATCCACAATCACAAAGAGTGAATCTGACCTCCAAAAGGGGGCCGTAACAGAGATGTACACATGGATGGCCTGGACCACATCTAACGAGTGTAGTTCAAACTCCTTAGAATGAGATGGCCACGAACACAAGGAAGGGAGGACAATGTCCTCATTTAGGTAAAAGGCAGACACCACCTTCGGAAGAAAGGAGGGAGGCAGACGAAGAATCACCTTGTCCGTATGGAGAACCAGAGAAGGAGACTTACAAGACAAGGCTGCCAGCTCAGACACCCACCGAGCAGAGGTAATAAAAACCAGAAAATCTGCCTTTTTAGAGTGCGTGAGCAAGGGAAGATCCATAATGTTCTCATATGGTGGTTTTTGAAGGACCGAGAGACAAGTTCAGGTCCCATCGTGCCAACGGCAGGCACACGGGGGGGGGGGGGGGGCAATATGCCGAACCCCCTGAATAAAGCTACGAACCAAAGAGTGCGTAGCCAAGGGGAGTTGAAAAAAAGATCGCCAGAGCAGATATCTGGCCCTTAATAGTGCTTCTGATCCACACCCCGTTGTAGAAAAGCCAGAATCCGAGAAATGGAAAAAGAGCAGGGATGCCACCCCACAGCCTCACAATACGAAATGTCCGGGTGCAATGATAGATCCTCCAGGAAGTAGACTTACGCACCTTCAACATAGTGAGAATCACAGAAGCAGGCAGCCCCCTGTCCTTCAGCACCTGGCTTTCAAAATCCAAGCCGTCAAAGCAAGAGATGGTGAAGCAGGGTGGAATATCGGCCCTTGAGACAGGAAATCCTCGCACAACGGATGTCAGCAGGGGATGTCTGCAACCAGCCTCACAACGTCGGCGTACCGGGGTCGCCGAGGCCAATCCGGAGTTAGAATAACGGGAATCCCCTCTGCCCCTATCCTGTGTAGTAGACTAGGGAAAAGCTTGAGATGGGGAAAGGCATAAATCAGGCGATAATGACTCTATGGCGCCACCAGAACATCCAACGCATTCGCCAAGGGATCCCTCGCTCTTGCCACGAGTCTCGGCACCTTCCGATTGAGATGGGAGGTCAGCAGATCTACGTCCAGCATGTCCCCCCACAGGCAGATGTGATGAAACACCTCCGGCTGCAGGAATAATTTTCCCTGATCTAGCATTTGGCTACTGCCTGCCAGTTTTTATAGATGGAATTATAGACGGCAGAGAGAGCTGGAACATAAAGTTCCGCCCACCAAAGAATGTAAGAGACCTCCTGCACCGCTGCCGAACTCATTGTCCCTCTTTGGTGATTGACATAGGCCACACCGTGGCGTTGTCTGACTGGATTCTGACGGGATGCCCACGCAGTAGCTTCATCCAATGGGAGAGGTATAGTCTGATCGCACCCAGCTCCAGAACGTTGATTGGAATGCGAGACTCTTCTGATGTCCAATGACCCTGGACCTACTAAAAACCCAGAACCTCTCCCCAGCCAGTTAGGCTGGTGTCCATTGTGATCACTGTCCCACGGAGAGAGAGAAATTACTTCCCGAACCGAAAAGCTGGAGACAGTAGCCACCAAAGAGAGGCCTTGGTCACACGTCCTACGCGGATCTGGTTGCCTAAGGACGTTGGAGATCTGTCCCACCTGGATAAGATCTCCTTCTGCAGGGCCCGGGTATGAAATTGAGCATACGGGATCGCCTCAAAAGGTGGACACCATGAGACCCAGCACCCTCATGCAGAGACAGAGATACAACCAATTGCGGGAGAGAAGTAACCGCACCTCAGTCTGGAAAGTCTGCAGCTTTTCCAGCAGGAGGAACACCTTCGCCTGTGTCAAGTCGAGGATCAGCGCCAAGCATTCCAAGCACTGTGTTGGAAGCAAAATGGATTGTTGGAGATGCAACACCCAGGTGAACTCCTGCAGGGTGCACATAGTGATCGCCACATTGCCCCTCTGCACAGAGTACGACTCCACTCGTGGGAGATCATCCAGGTAACCCATGACTGCGATCCACCACTGTCTCAGCAATGCCAGAACCGAAGCCAGCACCTTTGCGAACACCCTTGGGGCTGAAGCCAGGACAAAGGGTATCGCCACAAACTGAGTGCATATTCCTGATTACAAGTCTCAGGCAGCGCTGGTGACTGGGACAAACGGGAACATGCAGGTATGCGTCCTTGATGTATATGGAGGCTAGGAAATCCCCCTGATGGAGGGCGGCCACCACAGAATGAACCGATTCCATCTTGAACCTTTGAACTTCCACAAAACAATTGAGGGCCTTGAGGTTCAGGATTGGCTGGACCCACACACTGAAGGAGCAAGCCCTGCACTGCCCCAAAACACATAGGACTGCATCTGGTATGAACAGGCCCTAAAGTCTAACTTGTACCACAGTAAAAACTTGTCCTTTAAAGCTGGCCATAGATGGAATAAATCTCAGCCAGTTCAGGAGGGACTGGCCTTGATTTGATCCATCTATGGGCAGGCTGGTTGTACCCTGCCAGATGTTTTATGCAGTAATCATTGTGTTCTGCTGGCTGGGAAGGCTCCCCCATCAACACTGACTGTTGATGAGGGAATGAAGTGATTTTCTCTCCTTCTACCGAAGGTGAATGGTAAGAAAATCGCATAATCTATGGGCTGCTTAAGCTATTAGGCTCAAACCAATATGTTATAGTGCATATTTCACTGGCCATAACGCTTGTTAATAGTAGCCAAATGACTGTTATTTTCAGCTCTTATTGATGAAAATAACAGTCATTATGGGATATAACAATCATTACTGATTAGTGAACTAAGGCTATTGTCTGTTAAGCAAAATGAAAAGGCCACATAGTTCATGAATATTGGGCAGCATGAAAGTAAACCTGTGCCTGAACACAAAATAAAATCACTTTAAATAAGATTTCCTGGAAAAAATTGTTTTTGTATTTTTTTTTTTAATCTACTGGGTTACAAATAGGTACATTTCAGGAGGTTTATGCGGCCCCCTGGATCGTTGCCTGATCTTTACAATTTACACTTTCATGAAGAACTGATAGTACAGTTTTGTTATACTTTGGTGTTCTGACAGCTGACTACACACAAGCTGCACAGCTTGCCCCTCCTTTTCTCTGTCTATTCACAGAATGCTTTGTATATTGTGGATGAAGTCAAAGAATACAAAGCGTTCTGAGACTGGACAAGAGAAAAGGAGGGGAGGACAAAACTCAGGATGGCTGCTGTGTAGTTGAGCTGCAAGTCAGCTATTGGAGAGCTAGAAATACAGCTGAATATGGGTGTCAGGAATAGTCTTGCCAGTAATGGTGGGACTCACCTGCCTTGTGGGCTGCAGTACCAGGGCTGGCCAGCGGGTGCTCCCAGCAATCAGAGACTCAACCCTGCAGCCAGCCAAACACCTGAAGCTGATCATGCAGGTGTATTTAAGGGATGGCCAGACCTGCAGTCTCTGCCTTGGTGTGTGGTTTTCCTGGGCCCTGTATCTTGTTACCTGCGTTCCTGTCTCTGTCTGACTGATTCGTTGCTGACCCTGCCTGATCCGGACCTCTGCTGACTTGTCCTGTTTGATCCCTGGCTTGTGACCCTGACCATTCTCTGCCTGACCCCCTGTTCCTACCTGCCCGATTGTTATTGACCCGGCCTGCCCGACGATGCTTGCATTGTATGTATTATCTGTGGGTGGTTTGGTTCGTTTGCACTGTGTTATGTTTTAGTATTGCACTGTGTTTATGTATTGTTAGTGTTAATAAATTATATTGTTTATATCATATCTGAAGCCTGCATTAGTTCACATACCTCTGGTCATACCCTGGAGCCCTGACAATGGGTGTCACATGAAAACATGGTCACACTCCCCACCCTTAAACTGCCCCCCTCCACTTGCCTGATTTGTGGCTTTTTTCTTCCCACAACATCCTCTTTTTCTTTTTTTAATTTGGCATGGCTCCACTTGTACAGCCATGTCAGCCATTCACACGGATCGGTAAATTGAAGGCTGCAAATCCCATCAGCAACAATGGCAGATGGACTTGTAGACAGTAATGGAGCACAAACGTGAAGACGTTACTGCCCTTGTAGTCCACTGATTACTTCCTTCAGCCCTCTGTCTGAACTTCCATACCTCCGTATGAACCTGGGGCTGGAGGAATAGTCTTCAGGAGCCTGTGCATTACACCTGTGAGCACAGATTGCAGTTGCAATGCTTTGCAGCCTCCAATGCAACATAATGAATACATGTACAATGTTTCTTTTTTCAGTAAGGGTGCACTTTTTTTTGCAAAAAAGGTATGCCTTCAAAGCAAGCCCTTAATCTTCTCTGTATGTAATGTGTATTAGAGCTCATTCACACAGGTTCAGAGGTTCTTACAGTGAGAAAAGCTGTTTATGTGACTGAAGCAGCATGGATCCACACACATGCAGCTTGTGTTAGGCTAGGTTCACACCTATGTGTTTTGTAGTGCATTTTCAGATTTACAGAAACGCACTACAGTCCATTTAACATTAGCTTCTATGGGTCACGTTCACATCTATACAGTTTCCACACTGGTGCATTTTTCTAAAGGTGCAGACTTTTTAAAATGCAGCAATGGCTGCAGGAGGAACATGGAGAGCATTGGTAACTATATACTACCCTGGCACCCCTCCTAGCCAGATTCTTTCTGTTGCTCCTGGACCCTTGTGTTCTCTCCTGCCCCCCCCCCCCCCCCATCTCAGCCAGGTTTCCACTCCCACTGGCTGCTACCAGGATGAAGAGTGCGGAAAGGGCATGTAAACATGTAATTTACAAGCCCCTTCTTTGTCTGGACAGAGTCAGTGATTGGTATTGATCACTGACTCTGTTAATTCATAACTGAGGCATAGTAAACTGTGTTTGCTATACTTCCATTTATGAAGGGGAAGCTCTGTACAGAGCTATTCCTGTCCATTTATTCTCTGCAGCGATGATGATTGGGGGCTGTGTCCTCAATCTCCTTTCTCCGTATTAAAGGTAAAACATCAGAGGTCTGTTTATATTCCTGCTATCTCACCAAATCCCCCCCAATGGGGCTTTAAAAAAAAAAAAAGTAAAATAATTAAAAAAAAAAAAAAATGACTAGGGATGCAATGAAATTTTTGGTGGCCGAAACGGTTTGGCCGAAAACACCCCTATCGGCCTTTGACTGATATGAAAGCAAGCACCGATACAGGTGCTGAAAATAACCTCACCCCTTGGTGGCCTTAGCTGAGAAACCATTGAACGATCCTGGCGCTGAGCATAGAGATAAGTGAAGGAAAGATGGTCTTTACATTGTAGTCTTATTGACCCCATATCTCGCCATGAAGAGGACCTGCCACTGCTTATTTCTATCGCAAGGGGTGCATGCATTCCTTGTGATAGGAATAAAAGTGATTACATTTTTTTTTTTTAACCACTTCCCGAAAGACGGCTACAATGCGGTTGTCAGCTCTGGGAGGGCGTCCAAGGACATCCTCCCAGAACGCGCCCCCTGCGCTGTCAGTGATGAGGTAAAAGGCCAATCACAGTGGCCTTTTACCACATGATCAGCTGTGTCCAATGACACAACACTTGAACACTAGTCAAGGTTCTTGTTTTTTGGAAGAGGACTGTATCCTAATATATTGAATTTTACCTAATTTGGAGTGGGACTATCACATTTCTGCACCAATTGAGTTCTTTGGCAGTTGATTTATATTATGTATATTTAAAAATAGTTTTGCGCTGTTTTTTCTTTTATTAGTGAAATCACTAAGGAGCAGCAGGGATTTATTTTTTGGTGCTGGTGATTTTTGTTTTACGACACAACAGATCACAAAGTAAATACAGTTGCCGGTTATCGGCAGCACTTTCCTCACGCAGTCACAGCGTAAGGAAATGTACTGCCGATAACCGGTCAAATGTGACAGGGAAAATCTGCACTGATAATCAGTGTCACCCAGCAGTGCCCATCATTACTGCATAACAGTACATCATCAATGCCTCATCAATGCCCACCAGTGCAGCCTCATCAACGCACATCAGAGAAGGAGAAAAATTACCTGTTTGCAAAATGTTATAATAGAAACAAAGAAAAACTTATTTTAATTTTTTTGCTCTTTTTTTTGTTTAGAGTGCAAAAAATAAAAACTCCAGTGGTGAGTAATACCCAACAAAAGAAAGCTCAATTTGTGTGAAAAAGAAAGCGTGTTAGTCACCGTGCAGATTGTATATGAGATAGCCTTAAAAATTTGATCCTAGATTGTAAGCTCCAAGGAGCAGGCCTATCCTATCCCTCTTGTATTGAACTGTATTGTTGCTGTATTGTCTCCTGTTATATTGTAAAGTGCTGAGCAAACTGTTGGCGCTATATAAATCCTGTATAATAATAAGGGGTACAGTGTTGCATGACCACGCAATTGTCCTTTGAAGCGTGACAACACTGAAAGCTGATAATTGGCCTGGGCAGGACAGGGGTGAAAGTGCCCATTTGGCAAGTGGTTAAAGTGACAGTGTAAAAAAATTAAAATAAAAAAAAGTTTAAAGTGCCCCGTGCATAGCGGTGAACGCGTATGTAGGCCACACCCACATATGTAACCGGTGTTCAAACCACACGTGAGGTATCGCCATGAATGTCAGAGCAACAGTAATAATTCTAGCACTAGACCTCCTCTGTAACTTTAAAAGGTTAACCTGTAAAAATGTTTAAATTGTCACCCATGGAGATTTTAAGTACTGTAGTTTGACAGTACCCAGCCGGGGGTCCCTTCACAGTTTCTTGCACCTGGGCCCTGAAGGGTCTAATTTCACCTCTGCCTGGGGCCCTAAAATTCATTAGTGCCCATATAAACCAGCACTATACGGCAGCACTTGCGGAAGTGCGCGCACCTATACGGATGTATGGCCCCGTGTGTAAAAGTTCATACAATCAGATTGTAGCATGTATTGGCTGCTTTTCTCAGTCCACAAACAGCTCTCTTGGCCAATCCTTCAGCAGCCAGTGTCATTCCCGGCCAGCTGTAGACAGAAAACAACACAAGCAGACAGCACTGTTGTTTACGTGTTGCCTCAGTTGCCCCATATCCCAGACTTGCTTTGTCACGGTGTATGTAAGAGCCGTCCACACACACACAGGACAGGACGGGGCGGGGCGGTGCCCTGAGGCCGGGATATAATATAGACTAGCCTGCACCCAGTCCTACAGAACAGCGGCCTTCCTCCTAGCACTGCCAGTAGTGCGCGCCTCCCCACAGACAGGTGAGTGGCCAGGAGCCCCCAGCAGGTTAGGCTGAGCTCAGCTCCCACACACAGGCCTCCTTACATAGACACGTCTCTCCTATACCGGGCTGGCCCGGAGCACAGAGGAAGCAGGAAGTGCTGCATATTAACCCCTCCATTGTCACACAGCTCTGCGCTGTGCACCAGGGCGGCAGACAGGTAGCTTTAAGGGGTTAACCGGAAGAGAGACGCGGCAGGGCCGCGGAGCACGCCGGGGGATGTAGTTGTTGGTATTGCGGCAGGATATGAATAGGGTTCAGGTAGGGCTCGGCTTTGTGAGAGGGGTTTTGTTCTATTGGGGTGAACCTGTGGGCGTACAGCAAAGTGCTATGCTCTGTGTATGTGGTAAACATTGCTATACAGGCCTGTGTGTTAGGAGCATGGACACCATGTGTAGTGTGGGTCCCCATTGACTGTAGAGGTGTGTCAGGAGCATGGACACCATGTGTAATGTGGGTCCCCATTGACTGTAGAGGTGTGTCAGGAGCGTGGACACCATGCGTAATGTGGGCCCCCATTGACTGTAGAGGCGCGTCAGGAGCACGGACACCATGCATAACGTGGGCCCCCATTGACTGTAGAGGCGCGTCAGGAGCACGGACACCCTGCGTAATGTGGGTCCCCATTAACTGTAGAGGAGGACCTGTGGTGGGCAGGAAGGTTACCTGTTTGGTGACACAGGGGGACTT